TTTCAATGAAAATTTCCACAGATTCTAACGAATGCAGCCCTAATTAGATTGACCAGAGTGGCCAGCAACAGCAGCGACAGCAAAAAAAGAGAGTAGACCAATAAAACCTAATGAAATTCCAGACTGAATTGCGATAGATAGCGAAAAAGAAGGAAGTTGAAAACTTTCACAACTGGCTTAACATGAAAACTATTTTCCCCCCCAGCATTCGCACCCACCAACTCTGCTGCGCAGCATTTTTTCACACATTTTCCTTTGCACACTTTTGCACCGAGGCGCTAGAAACTAAGGCAAATAAAAATGGCAAATTAAACACACAAAAGTTTCCCCGTGGCTGTGTATTGTAAACACCTTCTAGCCGGAGCTCCCCAGCATGACAATAATTTGGGCAGATCGGGCAGTTGTAAGATCTATATTTAGGGCTCATCATCAGCACTTTCCATGCGATTGCTGTAATCGGTTTTCCAGCGAGTATACAAATTAAGCCGATTATCGACAATACATAAATAACAAAGGAAATCGTTCTTGGATTTCTATAATTGTTTACAAAAGATCTGCAAAGAGGAAGAGCATTTCTCGCATACTCGTGAGGCGGGGCACGAGTACATAAATCAACAGATGCCTCAGAATGCTCCTACTAAATCGTTCGGCGCAGGCAAAGCGCAAAGACTGGCAAAATAAATAAAGCAATTTATTAAAATCATCAAATGCAATAAACCATTCGATTAAATGTACTCTCTCTCTCTTTCTCTCTATCTGTGTGAAAGGGAAAGGCGGCTGGTTTTAGTTCTACTGATATGACCATATTTCAAATGGCTTTTGCCAATTAAAAGTTATTTTTACACCCCATAAATTGTCTCTGTTTTGCTCGCAATCGAATCGTAAATTACCGCTGCTAATTTGCTTGGTAAAACACCTAAGAAGAGGTAACCCTCTCGCTCCCTCCCTCTCCCATTCTTTCGTGATAGATCGCTGCACTGCAGTTTATTTTGTTTTGGTTAAATTTTCCTATTTTACCTTTAAAAAGGTACAAAAACGACTTTCATCAAAGCTCGGCACATAATCTCCCGCTTCCTGATGACCCAACAAATTGGCATTTAAATTTTTAACTGCATTTTTATGATGTCTGCCAAGAAATAAAATAAAATAAAACCAACCGTTCTGCAATAAATAAAGCTGTACTTTGTTGGGTGTTACAAATTGTCCACTCCCGCTTGGGTCATAAATTATCCGATTTCCAAAGATTTAGCTTTGGGTTTCATCTATTGTATTTACATGCAAATCAATGTTTTGGGCCTCATTTAATAACCAGCTTAAGGTATTAACTGATGAATATTACATTATGTATGCATGGAAGCATATGGAAAGGAACGGCAAGTATTAAATGTCAATGTCAACTGCCTTTTGTTTCGCTCTTGGTATTTCGGTGTTTCGGAGTGGCCCCCAGCCAAGGATAAGTTTATAAGTATTATGCCGAGGGCAAACGGGCAGCACTTGACGGCGAATGCCGCATCTGAGCTCTCGCTCTGGCTCTAGCCATCGCAAGCCCATTCACGCTGGCATGAAAGAGAATCAAGGTACAGGCAGGCCCAAGCACACTCAACCGAACAAGAGCGAGCATGTCTGCTTTATAATTCAACTGCTAAAACAGGCACAGTCAGTCAGTCATTCAGTCATTCGTTCACTCACTCACTCACACACTCACTAACTCATTCATTTCAATTCTCCGTGCAGTTTCTTGTGTCTGCCTCAGGACTACTGCACTTGAATACATTCTAAAGCTGCCAGTCTGTCTGGCTGGTACTTTGTCCATGCGTGTGTGTGGGAGTTTCTTTTTTTTTATATGATTATTTATGAATATGACGTTGGCTGACATTCATACTGCTGCGGCATATGTCTTGGATATACGACGGTTATATGGCGGCTTATAAAAATCCTCTTCTAGTTTTACAACTACATACATACTCCACACCACCCATTCGCCCATGCCCCAAGGCCGCAACAGAAGAGTGTACGTGAAAGTAAAAGTGAATTATGGTCAGGTAGTAAACAGGAAATTTCCTGCACGAAAGCTAATGGAAAATGTGGGACCCGGATGTGCCCCCAAGTGAATTATTAGATGCATTAGAACTTTGATATGATTATTATTGACTTGCTTAACGTCACACACTCATGTTTGATGCACTCTGAGAGTGCAATCATAAAAGAGACAACGTCAAAGAAGAGAAATGAAGTGCTGGCTGGCTGGCTGGCTATCCCACAAAGTAATCAGCAGCTGGCAATGCCTGATGGGCCGGACACAAAAATCCTTGCTTGTCCAGCCCCAATCAATGGAATAGATGGCCTGTGGCACAATTAAGGATATAAATAGCCGCAAGCCGTGGCGGCCAAGAGCGGAAATCAAACACAAGTAATTCTAATGCATAATTCAGACTGGGGTCGACGAGGGAGAAACGTTTAAAAATAGAAACAATAACGGCACGAACCCCAAATGGGGACAACAAATTGGCAGCAACAAGCAAGAATAAAGGGGCAAATTGTCAAAAGGAACGGAAAGGAAAAGTGAAAAGGGGAAAAGGAAAACAGAAGCCGGCGTGGCAAATAAACAGACAAGCACTCAAATTAAATTGCGAACTGAGCTTAATGCACTTAAAGCCACGACATTCCCACAAGATTCTCGAGTGGGCGCCCAAGCCAAGGAAGGGCATAAGGATAACAAGGATAGCGTAGGACGAGCCACTGTCAATGTCAGAGGTGTAGACACGCAGGCAGACGTACGGGCTGATCCATTGACAGGTAAGCCGCCACCATCGCAGAGCAAGCAGTGGCAGGTCGTGCGTTCAGTGGGAGCACTCGAACACGCGCGAGCTTCCATAGTACTGCGAAGGCAAGGTACTTCCCTTATGCAATGGGGCCATCGGGAGCTTGAAAATTGTGTGCCATGCTAGGCGCCCATTAGTGATGTTACCTGATCCAAAATTATGCTATTCAATCGGTTTCGCTATCGATTTCTTGCTCGCCATGCAGCCGAGATGAGACATGATAGTGGCGACACAAGTTTTATTTGCTTGCTCGGTTTCACCTTGTGGGTGTTCGTTCGTTCATTAGATCTATATCTATATGTTCATTAAATTCATGTTCTTATCGATGAAATTTGTGCACTGCGTTGCAGAACGAGTATAAGTTTCTCATTACGAAACTTATATGACGGCCATAATTCAACCTTCAATATCCAACATTAGTTGGCTGGCCCTTTGGCGTCGTGCCAAGAGTATTTGCCATTTTGCACTCTAAATTGGGAAAGTTCTCGGCCAATATTACGCCATAATCGCATCTCTCTCGCGCTTTCTCTCTCTCTCTGTCTCTTTGCCACTGTAATGGACTTCTGCGGAGCGGAAGAGGCCTGCTTTGGCCTGTAATACCTTTGGATGCAATGCAATTTCCAGTCCATAAAAGGTATTTATGCTGCCGCCTGCAGCTAATGGCCGTCGTGTACCCCCACAACATTGGTTAATGTGGAGCCGCTTGTTCTATGCTGGCAGATTGCACAATTTCCCAAAGTGCCTGGGAACAATGGAAAAACTTTCGCCCGACATCTCGCTAGTCTGCAAATTAAATGAAAACTTAATACTTATTGGCAGGAGCTCGATAAACAATGATGGCGCAGGAGGACAGAGAATGCTGGCTGGATGACAGTCAACAAGTTGGTGGCATGGCGTCTGTGCCACAGTGGGTGGTAGCTTTTAATGGTAAACTGAAACAAAGTGGGAATTAATTTGTACTCGTCTTTCGTTCGCCTGATTTCCTCACTTTCTGGCTGCTAAAGGCAGAATTTAATCCCCACTGCTTATTAAACTGCTTGGGACAGTTTCCTTGAATGACAGACAGACCACTGTTCTGGGAATTGGTTGCGCAACTCATTTAGCTGCTTTTGCTGGGAATTTATGCCCGGGTGCTTCCGGTGCGTTGTTCAGCCGCAGCAACAGCAGCCGCAACAAGCTTTCAACGATTCCCCACTGCAAATATGTACCCTGTTTGGACAGGACAGATGAGCAGATCAGAGAAACAAATACAAAAACCAACAGGCAGCTATCTAGCTGCAAAGCAAAACGAATATTCGATACCCTAGCCTGGCACATTGTTTCCAAAGTAGAGCTTTGATAATGATAAAGTTGGACTCTCTTTAAGGGAAACTTTGCACAAGACTCTGCTTTGCTTTCTGCCTTCGGATGCGCTGTCGCACTGCTTAAGATGTGCTCTCCCTCTGCCCAGGCCTCTGCTCTGCCTTTGATTTAAGTTTTGCCCAACGGCAGCGCTCTCTCTCTCTGTTTCTTCTTCCCACCGTCTTAAGCTCTACTTAGCTGCTGCTCTTCTCCTGCCGCGAGTTCTGCGTTTTCTTGTTTTATTTTTAGTACCATCGCGTTGCACCCCCGCCGGGCGACTGTAGACATTGTATAGCAATTTCGTTTACACTTCTCATTCCTTTGTTCCCGCCTGTGACGTATTTAATTCAGAATGACTTGTGACAGAAGAGAGGGGCCACACAAAGAGCCAGTGGGTGAGAGCGGGTCAGTAGGGGGGCCACGTACGTGGCGTACTGGGCTGTCTCTTCTGTGCTGTCGCTGCGGGGGAGTCCGGGCACAAATGCAATGTGCGGCGCTTCCTTTGCTGCATGGGAGCTCCCGCTGCGGCTATTTCTGTGTGTATTGTTCCTTTGTGTGTGTGTGTGTGTGTTTCGCTTTGTGAGAGTGTATTTTATTATATTAATTTAACGGTTACAGCAAAGCTGACAACCCATACCCAACACTGGACTGACAACGGGCTCTAGCACTCCTCTACCCAATACTCTTCAGCTTACAACAGAAACTACCTACCACATTTATTCCACGACATTGAGCTACCGTTCTAGCGTTCTGCTTTGCTAACCAACATTCATCAGACAAAAGAAAGTCCACGTATAGAACTACATATATGATTTTTCCTTTTCTCTCCTACACTAGGTAATTCCCCAAAGAACAAAACAAAAACCCCATAAACAAAGAAATGGATTCCGCAGCAGCCGCCGCCGCCAAGCGCGTTCAGATCGAGAAGGCGCACAATTTCATGCGCCAGTACCGCGATCCCGAGTCGCGTGAGCTCAAGAAGCTTTCGGCCAATCAGTTCATGGATGTCTGGGCCCACTACGATAAGGATGGTGAGTGCGGCGATGGCAGATGATTTTCTTGGGGGTGTTTCCTAACATTTGTCCCTGCAGGCAACGGCTACATTGAGGGCACCGAGCTGGATGGCTTCCTCAGGGAGTTCGTGGCCAGTGCCAATGTCACAGACATCAGTCCAGAGGTAAGCTACGCCCCATTATACAACACTAAAGGCTGTCACTTCATCTTTTGCTTGTTCTCGCTCCGATCCCCCCAGGCCGTCACAGACACAATGCTCGAGGAGTTGAAGTCCTGCTTCATGGAGGCCTACGATGATAATCAGGATGGCAAAATCGATATCAGAGAGGTGTGTATGGCCTAAATGAGATAGCCTTGTATAATTCACCTGACGCCCCGCGGCCAGACAACAAAATGTTCGCCGCCATGACGTATCCGCAATGTGCTCTATACGAGAACACTCGTATATATTCCTTTCGTGCATTCCAAATGACATTTCCTTGGCGGCTCCTTTTCTCAATTGGTTTTTAAATGTCAGTACCCACAGCTACCCCTCCCTAATGGCCCCGTGTCAATAATTTATTTGGCATTTTCCCACCAAAAAAGGAAATAAACGAAAACTTTCTGGCAAGGTCTTGCACGGAAAAAAACTTTTCCCCTCTCTTATGAAATGAGTTTTTAATTGAAGTTGGACCAGCAGGAGCAGCCGCAGCATTGGACTATTGAAAGAAGATTTTGTTTTTTTTTTTTCTCTTTGAATGGTGGAAATAATAAAGCACTCTTGAGGGGCCGCACAATGGACTTTTGATAAATGAGCAGACGAAAAAAGTTATGAGGAAAGTTCAAGTTCCCAGTCCCTGTTGAGGGACCGCTTATTAAGGTCCAAGTACAAAAGAAAAAAGGAATTCATAATTTATGTGGCTGGTGGCATTTCTCATGCGACATGTCGAAACAGGGTACTTAACGATTGAAATCCCAGCTGGCTAATTTGCCCCCATTCACGGGATAATAAGTCTGAAAAGATAGTACTGTTCTGTCCTGGGTATTAATTACCACGAGAAAATTATATAAAAGTCGAATACTCTTGAAGAAAGCAGATGAAAAACTTTGGAATTTGATCGGGGCACAGCTGATTAAAGTAAAGGCTACGGAAACCAGAGGGTTTCCAGATTCAACACTTAAATTATGCCAAAAAGTTTTTAATGAAAGCCAAGCCATGAAAACTTGGTCTGTCTGTTCAGTTTCACTTTCCGGTTGAGAAAAACCGGGGTGCACCCAGGGCTCTCAGCTTTCACTGCAGTTTCGGAAACTGTTTCCAGAAGTCCGCTTTCAGGACACCCTATACAATATGCATTCGAATCTTTAGTTATTGTCGAGTGCCGCATTGTAACAGACGAAATTGTTTGCCACTCCTCTCACTCCCCCTCTCTCTCTTTGTATACACAATTCACAGCTAGCTCAACTTTTGCCCATGGAGGAGAATTTCCTTTTGCTTTTCCGCTTCGATAACCCATTGGAATCGAGCGTGGAATTCATGAAGGTAAGTGACAGCCAAGAATTTTGCCATCCCCAGCTGCATTCCCAATCAAGAATTCCCTAATTGATTGTCTCTTTTTATTTGAATTCAAATTCCAACCCAATTTAGATCTGGCGCGAATACGACACCGACAACTCCGGCTACATTGAGGCGGATGAGCTGAAGAACTTCCTACGCGATTTGCTCAAAGAGGCCAAAAAAATCAATGATGTGTCCGAGGACAAGCTCATTGAGTACACTGATACTATGGTATGTATGGCAGTGCTCTACAATCATATGAATCAAACGAAACCAAAAGGTTTCCCCTTCCCAATCAACATCAATAAAAGTAGCAAAAAATCACTTGAATTAGCTCCTTGCCTTCGCTCATTTCCGGTGAAATTCCTAATGCATTCTTCCGCATTTTCAGCTGCAAGTCTTCGATGCCAACAAGGATGGACGTTTGCAGCTATCGGAAATGGCCAAGTAAGTGTCCTAGAAGGCCTCTGCAATGTCTGCACTGAGGTTGCTAACAACCCCCAACTTATTTATTGCAGATTGCTTCCGGTTAAAGAGAACTTCCTCTGCCGCCAGGTGTTTAAGGTAAGTGACAAGCGATATGACAATGATTTCCTCCCCTGAATGAAATATACGAGTACGTACTCCAAATCGAGGCAAGTCATCGTTCGATTGAGGAAATTGCCCCAGAACAGATAGTATCAATCAGTATGGAGTGCTCAGAGTGTAGCAGACCTCCTTCTTGGCTTGCCCAACACTTTTTGCACTTAGGTTAGCTTTGATTTTTATTAGTTCCTCATTAGCTGAAGCCTGGACTTGCCAACTAACCTAGCTTTGCAATTAACTCGACAAGCAATGCCTAATAATAAATTTATATTTTCACTTACTTATACTTAATTATTATCAATTACCTTCCAGCCATGTCTGTGTCGACTCACGGGAATTGACATACGAAATTGATTGGGGAACAGATGGGGGAATTATTTTAAGCTGCATTCACTCAGAGATAATAAGTTGCCTGTCGCCGATCAGAAATCAATACAACACCACGTCGCTCCTTCTCTCCTAATGCTCTCTCAGTGCCAAAATGTAACTGTTTATTCAACAAATTCAATTCAGAAACACAACATTGAAATTGAGAGCCCATAAAAAATGTATCACCTAAGCAGACTCCAACAACAAATTGAATCCCCCGCCACCTCAAGCCACCACCCTCGATTCGCGCTGCGTCGCAGAAAATAAAGTCATGGCCGAGGCCATAAATAGCTACTCCGCCGAAAAGAAAAAAACAGAGAGAAATATTGTCTAGAAACGTAAAAATAAACGTAGCAAAATGCTTGCAGAGCTCAGCTGAATTGCACCCCACTCCCCACCCAGTGCTCAGGTGGCAGGCGAGGATAAAATTGGGATGCGTGGAAGCCTTCAAAATCAATTTCGCATCCGTTTTCGGCTTGTCCGTGTCCCAACAGATTTGATCTGTTTGAAATTGGGTTATAAAAAGAAAAGAGTAAGGTAAACGAAATAGGCAAAAGGTAAAAAGTCCCACGCCAGATGGAGAGGACCGGGCCCCATTAAATACTCAAATATTAGTTTACATCCAAAAGGAGACCCAAACAATTAGCAAAGTTTCAGCCTTTTTGTCAAGGAGGCAAACTTTTCTGAGCCTGCAGCAGATGCTGACTCTAATGGTACATTTAAAATTCCCTTGGGATATTCCTACAGAAGGTGGGGGGGGTGTAGCGCTTGCAACTCATTTCGAATTGTGCAAATGGCGGCGATGCCAACTGGCGGTTAAATGAAGCACAGTCAGATGGCAGGAAATCTTTTGGTTGCCTTGCAGTCGAATGTCACGTAAGAGGCCGCAGGACCCAAAACTTGGCCAAAATATATGGACTCGCCAAGCACTCGTATTGTATGTATATTTGAGCGTGTTTTCCGTTTTCCGTTTTCGCATTTTTGGCATGCTCAGCAGCTTTTAGGGCAACGAATCGACACAACTAAGGAACAAGAAATGCTTGTCCTGTAGGCAGGCAGCGCACCAGATGTTTAAAGCAAGAAATTGTGGCCAAGACAAATGCCGAAACGCCAACGAACAATTTATACGAATTGTGTAACAGTTTGGGTTAAATCTTGGGTAAAAGTAGAATTTCATAATACACATGAATTCGATTAAGGGCTTGGCTCAAGCAAATGCTGATGTCTTACCTTGGATATTCCCCCAAAATACTGAGCACAGACAGCCCCAGTCCCTGCCAAGGCATACGGTTCGTGTTTCCTCATGTCTTCCGTCAACTCTTTGCCGTCTGGCGGTCGTTTTCCTGTTACGATATTCGGTGTTTTTTCCTGACAATCAAGTGGGTTACACGCTAAACAAAAACACACACAGAGAAAAGAGAGAGAGAGAGAGAGAGAGAAAGATAGGGGGGAGACTTCGAGTGTAACAGTTCCTTTTGGCCATTCAGACCTCTTATTGTTATTTGCTGCAAATGTACGTGATTCAGTCGCATTGGCGCTGCTTATTGACAATTGCGATTGCCGAAAAAGCAGCCAGGAGCGGTCGCATAGGGGCATAGGAGGGGCAGAACAGCGAAAACATTGGGGGCACAGGCAGTACGTACAGTGTTGGTCCAAATCAAAAGTTCTGCCTCCTTTCTGTTTGAACTGCGAGCGTGCAATTTCCATGGGATAAAATCCCTCGATTGGTAGTTGCGTACAATGCAAGCTACGTGTACATGCAGCCAGCGAATGGTAATTGAATTTCCATTACTAGACACACACACAGTAAAAACTGTGCACAGCTGAAAACAGCAGCCAATCAATTTCACAATTACGGGGATAAATCCGATGAATTTTTTATTAAATCTAGGGACAACGTCGCCAGTGTGTGTCTCATTCTGTGGCTTTCTTTGTTTAGAAAGAAATCCTTTTTAGGCTTGAAAGTAAATGTAATTGATACTCCAAGTATCCATGCTGGGATACTTACTCAACTATCGCTTGTTAGCTTACATCCCCACAGCAGTAAGTTTTATTTCAACACTGAAAACGTTGTTTTTTTTTTGTTGCTGGCTGGAACTGTCGGTATGCTGTTGACTTGGTCGGGCGTTTGCAATATGGCGGCACATAAGCAATATTCTGGTGTGCATCCAGAGCCAACGATGCAGCAATGCCACCAAGCCAGGCCACAGCAATGAACACCGAACAATGATTGTTCACGGTATAAGGATCCTACGTATTTGCTCATTGTTACAGCTGGCAGCACAAACGACATTTTATTTGGGTTTTATTGACGCAGCGCGTGGGAGGAGTGCAGGGAGCTGTGGCTGCTACTGAAGCTGGAATCATGCATCACAATGTGAATGTGAAACGTAACGAAACAAGTCGGATTTTAATCGAAATATCCAGTGGAGACGACAAGGTTGCTGTCCCTCAGTTCCGAACCGCCAAGCAGAAGGAGATGTGAAGCAGTCACCTGACCAACACAGATATCAGCACTGTCCGTGCCTCCTGAAGAGCCATAAAAGTCATGAAGCAGAAGCTCAAGCAGCCATAAAATAGGCGCTTCCAGCACATTTACCGAAGGTGCACTTATTACTTTTTTATAATTTCTTAAGACCTCCATAAAACCGGCGCATGCATCAGCATTTTGATAACCACAGTGGGACAGGCCAGGATAGGACAGGACTGCAGACATAACGCTCCGAAAAGTTGACCTCAACTTGGTCGCACAGCTTACACTGAGCAGCGGCGAACTTTAGTCAAGATTTTCCCGAAGATTTTGATCCTGTTCAGGCAGAAGTTTCCACTTGCTGCAGCATAGTGTAGCACAGTGCCGCTGCTGGCTCATGGCCAAACTGGCAGAAACCTTTATGCTAATGCACATCACGTATTCGCCGCATGCACCGCAACGAACAGTACAGTGACATAATGTGCAGCAACAGGACAGGGAATGGAAATGGGAATCTAAATGGGAGTGGGAATGGGTGTGGCAGTAGGGCAACAGCAGAAGGTGATGTTGATGCGGCTGCTGAGCGTGGACTGGAGCATCCAGTGCGATGTTTTTAATGTCCGCTAATTTTTTGTGACACTGAAAGGGACTCGGCTAAGTGAAAACGTGACCAGGACATATTCCAGCATTTTCCGATGGCTCGACACAGACATGGCGCGCCTTTTTTTGTTCGTTGATTTTTATATATTAAATTTAGATTAAATTTAGAGCGATTAACCAGCGATCAACTGCAAGCGGCAAATATTTTGCACTCCCATTGGTCTTGCGTAGACGTATACTTGATATTTATGAGATTCTTTTAGTTTTGCTGCATCCTAGATCCTAGATCGCTTAGCTTACTAACTAAACTTTAGACTAAACCAATATTTAAACATTCCAACAATTGGAATCGAATGAAAAAAATAACAAATTAATTCGATTTGGATTGATTTGCTGTTTTCTGATTCGAACTAAAACCAAAAAAAAATAATAAAAAAACAAAACAAAACAAAACTTGAATTTTAATTTACATTTCTCAACTCTTTTCTAACTTTCTATTTATATATATATATATTTTATTTCATTTTTCCCCCCGCCTTTCTCCTCTATTACATATGTATCTATACGAACATAACAATATATACATATCTATGCATATATTTCGATAATCTTGTGCATTTTTATTTCTAAACCAACAACATAACAATAATCAAATAAAACAACAATCAACAATAAATACCGTATACCGAATTAAATATACTCTGCACGTGGTATTCAATCATGTCGCGGGGCTGCCAACAATTCTCTCGCACGTTGATGCAATAAACAACTGTATACCAACCATATGCTCTGTGTATATACACACACCATAACATAATATCTCCAATAAACTGCACCGCCAACAACTATAACAACAACCAATTTCCTATTATAACCATACACTCCAACATTCCTGCAAATGAAATTAATAACCTAAAATCATATATGAATAAAAATAAAACCACACTCTGAAGGAGGGCATTGATGTAAGTATTTATTTTCCATGCAATCAAAGAATTAAAAACAAAAAAAACAAAAAAAATCGAAATATTACCCTACTGGTTGGCGATCTATTATAGTTTGATAGACTCTGGGTACTAGAAACATATACATACATATATGTATTTACACGATGAGTGAGAAAGACGCCATAAAAACCCTTAATAAAATTGTGCTTTTTGTTTTTGTTTCTGTTTTTTTTTTGTATCGTTCAAAAGGCTTTGTTTGAACAATTCCCGCTTTTTGTTGAACACTTACTTGATGAAAGCCAAAGAATATATTTATATTGATTTTCAGTTTGGTTTTTTCTCGGTTTTGTAGTTTAATTGTGTTGTGCATTTCGCAAGCCAAAAAAGCAAATACTTTATTGGCTAAAACTGCTTGGTGTTTAATGGAAAATATCCAATTTGTTTGAGTTTCTTGTGGGTTTGGATTGCATGGACGCAGCATTGAATGTTATTCCTTTGATAATTGTGAATGTGAATGCGAGTGCGAGTGTTGAGAGAGTTTGCTTTGGAAAAGTTTTGTGGTGCGGCGGTTGCTGAAAGAGAGAAAAATAACTTACATATAGACGCGTGCATATAAATCCAAAGAACAGTTCGACCACAGAACCAGAGAGCAAAGGTGCGAAAGAAAGCGCTCTCACTCAGTCTCACTCTCCGTCTGTGCAACTCTCTGAGAGGTAAATTCATAATGAAGATCCGTTATTCCAAGCGCGAAGTTGGCCGTCTGCACTGCTTAACCGAGGCTGCAGCTGATTTGGAGCGGAGCCACGCTTATTGGTTCGTTACATAGGTATACAGGAATCACTGATCACTGAGTATAATAATTAAATTATGTATCGAGTACATGTACAGCCCACATTCATTCAAATAAGAAGAACTTTCTAGCTTTATGGTAGTGATACTTCTGAAACAGACAGAGCGAGAGAGAGAGAGAGAGAGTGAGAAAAATGGAGCAAACGAGGTCTTGCAATTAATAACAGCTTACTGTAGATTAGCATTAGGAGAGTGTAATCTTTCCTTTTCTGTGTCATTTACACATTTTCAGGCTCTCGCCCGCACCCAAGACCCAACTGAGCATGATAGCTATGAACTACTAATTATACTTTTGATGGCAGTTGTCCACCCAATGCCACACTTGGCACATGCATACGATGATGCTACGTGAACAGCTTTAGACCTAACCTAATGTGGGGGTCCGCAAATTACATGTTGCCCCCCGCCACCCTGCAGCCACTTCCCCGAACCGGGAGCGAGAGAACCTTTTGCATAATTTAGTCATTGAGGGAGAGAAAGGAGAACTTTGTGGCACTGCCATATGGATAATGGCAGCCACAGCCGCAGCCGCAGCCGCTGGCTGACACGGCGGGTCTCAAAGTGTTGAAGTGTAAAATAATTACTTCATTTCGGCAATGGATGAGCGTCACGTTCCAGGCTAAATTCGACTTAAGTATGAGCAATTTGACAAAAGAGAGCGGAGGCAACAACAACAACAGCCAGCGTGTGTGGCATTCAATTCCAAGAGCACTGCTGCTGGGAAAAATGAATTTGAGCAAATGGAACGCGCTAAACTTTTTAAATGCCGAGCCGACACACAATTTTGAAGGCTTAAGGCGCAGCTCAGGAAAGGGGTGACAAAAAGGGCACAACCGCTTAATGGGTTCGTAATCCCCTTAAGACCGCACAAGGAATGCGCCAAATGCGTTTTCACGGCTCCACCGGAATGTGGGGGTTATCCCAAGGATAACAGAAGAAACAACACCTTGAGCTTCCAGTCGTAACTTTTGGGGCAGCTCTTGAGGCGCCGCATGGCACCGCACACCAACTTTGAACTTGGGCGCCGTCAGGGCTGCATTATATTACATAACCCCCAAAAAAAAAAACAAATTGCATGTCTGTGCGTGTCTGAGTGTGTGTTAAAGGTACACTCGCATGGACGTGCTAGTGGTAGTGGGAGTGGTAGTGAAAAGAAAAGTAATTCGAGGCATTCTTCGTCGAGCACAAATGGAATCGATAAATTCATGTGCTCCCGGTGGGAGCGGAACGGTGCCCAGCCTCGACGGAGACTAATGTACGAGAAAAATGGCTAACACCTACGGAATAATTCATGTTAATTAGGAACTGTCAAAGGCATAAGCACATAATTGGCAAAATGTTTCATTTAGCTTAATTATACGAAGGCTTTCAGCATTAGCATAATATATAACAAATGTCTGTAAATATGAAATATGTATGTGACATGCTTGGAGTGGGTCCCCTTTTGGGCATATGTATGCATGTATTCCCGAGAAAGATTTGGGAACACACTGAGATTTAAGAACACACCCAAACCCACATTTTGCATGATGGCATGCATTCGACAGCTCTGTATATAACAAATCATTTCAGAAATCGCACAAAATCACACACAAATCATATATCAAGTCAATATATGATGTCGTAAAGTACAGCACCATTTCAGATCCGATTTCAGATCCCTCCTAAAAAAGTTGCATGATTATCTGTGACCCGTCTGGTTTGCGGGATCTGAAAGGTGTGCTCCTCTAACTGTTGGATGTTATTCCCACTGTAAAGAAAGTTGTTGCCACAGTTAAAGTTTTAGCATACTTGGCGAGGAGAATTGCAACTGAAAAACTGCATTTTCTTTATGGATTTTCTATGAAAGTGAAAGCTTTCCGAAAAGTATGCTAAAACCTTACATTTCTTAGCTGTGGATAAACCATTATTGTCTGTTAAAAATGTTTATATATCCACGTGTAAATCTAAGTTAAATGAATTAAATATTTCACTTCTCTTCCCTAATCGCAGGGTGCCACAAAGCTGACCAAAGACGATATCGAGAAGGTGTTCTCGCTATACGATCGCGTAAGTTCTTTAAAGTCAAGCAGCCAACATAAATGTTAATCAATTTACCATATTGCAGGACAACAGCGGCACCATTGAAAATGAGGAGCTCAAGGGCTTCCTCAAGGATCTTTTGGAGCTGGTCAAGAAGGTAAGTTGCCCTCATGGCCATTGGGTTGGTCTCATTTGAATTGTGTCGTTATTGTGTATACAGGACGACTACGATGCACAGGATCTGGCCGCCTTTGAGGAGACCATTATGCGGGGCGTGGGCCATGACAAGCACGGCAAAATCTCACGCAAAGAGCTGACCATGATCCTCCTAACACTGGCCAAAATATCGCCCGACGATGAGGAGTAAGAAGATTTTTAGCCAATTCCATATTTGTCACCCCAAAATCTAGGCACCGAAGGCCATGAGGCAATTGATTACTTTAAACCTGCTGAAAAAATTAGCAGAAGATAAACAATTTTGGTAAAGATGGAGGATCTCCAAAGCAAATGAAATGGAGATTCTACCCGAAACAAAAAAAAACAAACAAACACAAAAAACTATTGGTAAAACTAAATATAAAATAAATGTTTCAAGCTTCAGTAAATGTTTATCGTATGTTAAGCTATTGAGAGTATATTTCCTCCCCCAAAACTGAAACACCAAAGATATATATTTACTCCAAGCCGAAAATAAAAACAACAAACAAAAATGAAATCGAAAATTTATCTCCAAGCAACACTGAATCGAGCCACTTTATCTTAATGTAAAGCAAAAGAATAAAATCAAATTCAGTACATCGATTTTATATTATATTATATTATATTATTATATATCTACGTGTATATTTTCTAAATGTATTTGCCTATAAAATATACCTATATATGTATGTATATTTTATTTTGTTTAATTACAAAAGGAAAACTTAAAATAAATGTAGCTAAACTTAAGAGAACACAAACCAGAATCAGATCAGTCGTGATTTATTTGAGATTATATATTTACATATATTTACGTATATAAATGTGTGTGGCTAGAACTAGTAGATAATTGTTGTTAATAATTGTGGATATATTTATGTATGCAACACAATACATTTTGGTGTGCTAATCGTACATTTTGCCAAGCCTCCACGACTCTGATTGTATTCCGTGTAAATGTGAAATTAACCCACACTCACGCTAACCCACGTATCACACTCTCATTCGATGATACAATTCTCTACCACAAACATCAATCAATCAGTCAAGAGGCACTTGAGGGTGGAGTGGGGCTTGGCTCGTGTTCTAATGCCACCTGACACGAGCCCTGCAGCGTGCTGTTGCAACATCAGTTACAGCCGGAACGCATCTGGCAGTGCTCCACCCGAGGACACACACACACTGCTCTTCTTATTTATCATTTAAAATTGGAAATTGGAACAGCTTTGACTACTCTAAAACTAAACTAAATCTAATGGAAAATCAAAAGGTTAACCCATAAAAACTATCAACTTATTACACTTATCTAACGTTTTTTCAAGGTGCTATAGCTATATAATTATGATTTTGCCCTTACGACTTTTCGACCCCGAAAACTGTCACTAAATCCTATGCAATTTCAAGTCTATGTTTCCAAGAAACCTAAAAACAAAACGTATATCTAAAAAATATAGTAAATTGTAAGCTTTAAGTACCCAAAAAAGAGAAATATTTGATTCGAATAGTGGAAATTGTAATTGGAACCCTCATCGGGAAAAGCAAAACAGACACCATTTCAATTTATTCGATTAATTATACGCGTCCGTAAATGCCAACTTAAAGATATAATTAAAATAATTACGATACAACTCTACGTATATATGGTACTTACACTACATACATAAGATACAGATACTCGTATTGTTCACACAAAAAAACTGCATGTTAAGCTTCGAAAAGAACAACAACAAACCCATTAGCGGGCCAATACCCGAATATCGTATATCGAATATCTATATGGATGTATATGTATGACAAATACTATGTTTTAATAATCTAAATACATTTACGCAGACATCATCGGGTCAGCACACCAAATGGCAGTTGTTTTTGTTGTTATCTGGAATGGGTTTGAATTGTTTGACGGTTTCGATTGCATTGGGCCTGGAGCTCCATGAGATCGTGCAGTTGCTTGAGCAAGTCGTTCACCTCCTTTATTTTGGAACCAAAGTCGTGAGCCTCCGATGAACCACCGGCTTCACCGTCAACTGATTCGTACTCCTGCAGTTCCGGGCCAATGAGATCTTTAATGTGGTCCATGGTCTTCTTTATTTTCAGACAATGGCTAAAGGAATTTCTTGATTACCATTTTGGACTCAAGATTGGTGTGTAATGATTACTTACCACCTGGGCGACGCCGATTTGGTCCTGGAAACGCAGTTCTGTAGATGCCAAAATCTATTGAAGATCTCTAAGGAGCCTTTCTCTGGGGCTTGCCATTCAATGACCTCGACCCGCTGTGGTTCCTTCTGTTCAACTTCTTCTAAGTGCCATGTATACCAGACGACATCTTCCTCATCTTCATCATCTGAGTCATCTATTTCACTGGAGTCGGGCGCACTAACACCCATTAAATTGGGCAGCCGCTTAGAGAGCAGGGCGAAGTGTCGTCGCAGAAAGGACTCCGCGCGATATCGATTGTCTTGACTGGAGGGTTCGCTGATTAGAGTAGGATCCATCATGCCCCCAGGAAAGGCAAGCCCCGAGGGATTCGCATAGATCACACGCGTATAGGCATCTCCATAACTGATGCGTGTTTCGCTGGGTAAAACATTAACAGGAAAGGTAGTACCCCCGAATATCGCCTGGATTCGATTCGTATTCGATTCCACTCACCCATTGCCGATGTTGACCACCAATTTTGTAATGTGTCCAAAGCTAGACATGGCCATAAGTATGTGTGTGTCGTGTCGTACGGGCAATTTTATGTAAATACTCAAAACAGGGTAACAGAAAAATAGGAAACAAGTGTCGGGGACTACTACTTCACCCCGATTCCGAGGCCTGATTTTTGCCAGTGGGCTTTGCCTTGACAGAGTCCATAGTCTTGATAGCGGCATCGAAGTCCAAGCGACGCTGATAGGCCAGTCGCTGCAGGATCGTGGGATGCGTGTGATGCCACCTGGAGTAGCAATCATCAAAGACCGGGAAGCTCATGTGATCGGCATAGATTTTGACAAGGGCCGAGCTGAGCTGCGTGGAGTAGCCCAGGCGATGGGCATAGCGATCGGCGGCAAACTCATTGTGCCGCATAATCCACAGTATCAGGAAGTTGGCAAGCATCAGATATGGGGTAAGGGCGAAGCGCAGGACAATGATGAAGCCCACAATGATGGGCGCAATGCCCGGCTGGAAGCCCACACCCAAGTACAGCTGGGGACAGTGAAAGAACACGCCAAAGAGCAGCATGGTGAGGAGGAAGTGTAGCTTCATGAGCACCGTCGTCTTGTAGAAGTGTCCGTATTTCCAGTGGCCCAGCTCGTGGCACACCACGCCAGTCACCTGCTGATTGGTGAGTCCCCTGCCCACCTCGTAGGGCCGCAACTCCTTCGGATCAAGTCCTTTGTTCAGCAGCAGAGTGTCGAACAGGACGATCCGCTTCATGCAGCAGCTGCCGTAGAAGTAGGCATTGCTGTACTGCATGGTCTTGGTGCGGATGATGAACACCCGCTTCACGGGAAAGCCAGCCACGTCGCAGACGCGCTTCACATCGGTATACAGCGCCGTGCCCTCGGACAACCTTGACTGCCTGCCAATGCAGGGAATGCAGCAGTAGGGGAACAGGAAGACCAGCAGCAGCGTGAATATGGCCCAGGCGCCCCAGTAGTACAGGAAGAACCAGTAGCCGGCCATCGTCACGGTGAACACAATGAGCAGCGTTACGGGGGCCAGGAAAGCCTGCGTCAGAATGATGGCCAGGCCGGCAATGCAGCAGTATAGGTAGCAGGAGAACTGCCTCTGGACACCATAGCGCAGCTCCAGGATGCACTTGTCGTAGGCGAGCACGGGCAGGAATCGCACACAGGTGTAGATGGTCATATAGAAGACGAATATCGGACTTATCCAGAGCTCCTTATGGGTGGCTTTCGCCAGCGTCTTGGCAGCCAGACCCCAGAGGAACGGATAGAAGCCAAAGAAGAGCTCGGCCAGACTCAAAACCATGTCTACAGCAATCTTCCAGCTCTGTAGCTCCATTTTGTGCAGTTCGTAGATGCGGGCCCGATGGAAGATATCCGGTGGAATGATGCCGCGCAGCTCCTCGGGAACGATAATCGAATTCAGGCACACCAATTGCTGTGGGCAACCAGGGAATGCATCATCAGATGATCTCATTGCTGGAGATAGACCCTTCCATTTACCTGTCTCTTGGTCAGTATCAGCTCCCACACATGTCCGAGCACCACAATGATCATTAGCAAAGCGAGCACCACCTTTGGGTCCCACTCTGGCCAGTTGTCGTAGAATGCCATCGAACAAGAGCATGTTTCCCCAACAAACAAAAACAACAATAACAATATTGGGGTGGGGCTATTGGAGCATTATTATAAATCAGAACCTACTGTGATTGGGTAAAAGTCACAACTAAATAAAGCTAAGATCAAGTTGAACTCCTTTGCTGCAGCTTTTCCAATCGATTGAGTCGATCCAGCATCGTGGGATGCGTGTGATTCCAACTGGAGTAGCAGGGGTCCGAGATGGGAAACGCTAGGTTGTCCGCGTACAGCTTCAGCAGGGCCAGGCGCAGATCCTTGGCGAAGCCCATCTCCCAGGCGAAGCTGTCCGCCTGATACTCAAAGTGTCGCGTCGCGGAGAGCATGCAGAAGTTGGCCAGCGTCATGTAGGGCGTCATGACGAATCCGAAGACGATGAGGAAGCCCACCACGATGGGCTGCAGACCCGCCTCGAAGCCCACTGCCTGGTAGATGGGTCCATGGAAATAGAGCACGTGAAAGAGGCACAGCATCAGGACCATGTGGAACTGGAACATGAAGATCGCTTTGTAGAAATGCCCATGGACCCAATGGCCCAGTTCGTGTGCCACAACGGCAACCACCTGAGAGTCGCGCAGACCCTTGCCCACATCCTCCGGTGCCAGCGATGACAAATCCCTCAGGCCCCTGTTGAGCAGTAGAGTGTCAAAGATCACGATCCTCTTCAGGCAGCAGCTGCCGTAGAAGAAGGCATTGCTGGGCGTATTGGGATCGTTCACCCGGATAATGTGCACCTGATGCATGGGAAACTCCACAATATCCGTGAGATGCTGCAGGTCAGAGAGCAATTCCGAGTTCTGCAGTGGAACCCGCTTGCCCACAAACGGATCGATCAGGACGGGCACCAGGAGAATGAGTACCACCGTGAGCAAAAGTGACTGCAGGTAGAGTCCCACGGCGGTGTACTCTTCCAGCCAGAGGACCATGAACACCAACGAAACCACCATCACACCCATGAAGATTACGGCCAGAATGGTGTCGATGATCTCACGGCAAATCCGACGCGCCCACGGCGGATTCTTTCGCTTTTGCAGGGCCGAAATGCACATCTTCTCATAGAGCATGCCCGGGAATGCCTTCAGGGTCATGTAGATGGACAGCAGGAGCACAAAGAATATGGAAACGCAGGCCTCGTGCTCCATCCACTTGGCCAAGGAGCATTTTGTCGCCACATTCCAGAGCCATGGATAGAAGCCAAAGAACAGCTCCATAATCCCACTGAATACCACTATGAGCAGTGTGTTGACAACGGTGAACCAGCTCTTGTGTATCTTATACGAGCGCATCTTGTTGAACAAATCCTGCGGCAGATAGGGACTAATCACTGCGGGCACCTTTTCCACTTCGTGGACAGCGATTATCTGTGAAAAGGCATCCAATACAGGACAATGCAAACGAATAGGACTTTCTGTAGCACTCACTTCACGGATCATCAGATAGACAGCCCAAAGATTGTCCACGACCAACAGGGCAATGATTATATAGAGAACTAACTCAGGATCGTCCCAGAAATATGCAGACATTTTGCTCGAACAACTTGACAGTTTAGGCACATTTTGGTAATTTTGAACGTCTGAAACAGACAGTCGTCGGTTCCGATTTGAAAATATTAATCAAGTTATTTGGGGGGCTCACAAGTACTCCCCCCCATTCTTTATTTTACGTTATAAAATAGGGAATACAGTGTAAACTTTGGTCTGTGCGCTGCGTGGGCTTTTAGTTTAATTTCTTGCTCTCCTTCAGCTCCTGCAGACGATTCAGGCGCTGGAGTAGAGTGGGATGAGAGTGATTCCAGGTGGAGTACAGCCAATCGTAGACGGGAAAGCCCAAGTTGTCCAGATTCAGCTTGATCAGTGCCCGTCCCAGCTGTTCCGCAAAGCCCAGCTTGAAGGCAAACTCATCGGCCTGGTACTCGAACAGGCGCGACAGGATCGTCATGGCGAAGTTGATGATGGCATTGTACGGCGCCAGCACATAGGTGAACACAACCAGCAGGCCGACGAGAATGGGGCGAGTGCCCGGCTCGAATCCCATTGCCACATAAAACGGAGCATATTTAAAGAGGTAGCCAAAGACGAGGAACATCAGGAACAGATGAACCTGCATGATCACAATATTCTTGGTGACGTGGCCCAGCTTCCAGTGGCCCAGTTCGTGTCCCAAGACGGCCAGTACCTCCTCGTTGGTGCAGCCCTTTCCCTTCTCATCATCGGAAAGCTCCGAGGCGTCTGGCTTTCCCTTGTTCAGAAGAAGAGTGTCGAAAAGCACGATTCTCTTCGAGTTCCACAATCCGTAGAAGTAGGCATTGCTGTGCGAGGATCGCTTCGAGCCATCCACAACGAACAGCTTTGTGAGGGGGAACTTCAGAGATGCGGCCAGATCCTCAATGGACTGTCGCAGTGGGCCTTTCTCCAGCGGCGTATACGTGTCGAACAGCGGAGCGATGAAGATCGGATAGAGGGTGAGCAGGACCAGTGAGACCATTCCAGTGAATAGCCACAGCCAAATGAAGAAGTTGTCTCCGCCACGCTGCACTATGAATATCAATGCCGCCGTAATGGGAATCATGAGTACTTGTGTGACCAGGAAACCCTTCACCTGATCCCATGCAAAGAATCCAGCCGTTTGCTTGTTGAAACCATGCGTCTCCTCCAGCACAAAGATTTTGTAGATCTTGAAGGGCAGCGACTTGAATGTGCTCATCACATTGGAGATTACCACAAAGACACAGCTGACCAGTATCTCATTGCTGGCGTCCCACTCAAGTTGGTTGAGCACTTTCACCGCAATTTCCCATATCACGGCAATCAGCCCGATGCGCAGCTCCAGGCATAGCAGAATGACGTCCATCAGCACCGCCTTGAAGATTCCAAAGTTCTCCTGGTCCAAACCATATTTACGCGCCTTGTGGAATGTCTCCTCCGTCATGTGTGACGTCAGCTCGACCGGCACTTTGAGTGCATTTCGATACACTTTCACCTGGTTACGGCGGGGAAGGTGGGATGAGAAGGGGAACAATTAAATGCCAATAAACACGTACAGGCTCTAAATTTATCATTCGTTCGACGCTGATAAAATAAATTGCCAACTCTCTCGGTCTCGCTCGCACGTGCCGGCACATTGCCGCCTGTGAAAATACTCACTTGACGCAGCGATATGTAAATCTCAAGAGCGTTTTCAATAACAACTAAAGCCAAAATGCTGTACAGAACCGTCTCTGCATCAATTGACGACATTTTATTGCCTATTTTTTTAAAATTGTGTAAACTTTTTATAAATTGTGAGTCCCAATCAGCGTGACCGATAACGATAAAAATAGGAGCCAGGGTAGAAAAACCAGGGCAGGGCAATCAAACGAGACTTAACCCACTTGACACCCCTCTATTTAAAAAGTTAAGCACCCTTTGTTAAACTGAGGAAAATAATGTTTGTAAAAAAAAAAAAATTACCACCGACATATTTTACCTGTAATGCGTAAAATATGTTATAGTTAATATTTTTTAATATTTCCACGAAATTTATGCATGGAAATATTAAATACCCCCCTGGTCGACAACGGGATAACGTTCTATTTTATTGATTAAAATCGTATACCATAATTTTGATATTCAGTTTAATATTACTAGCTAGTTGTCCCTCTCAGCTCTAAACGTATAATTTGATCCAATTCATCAATAAATTTTGTACAAGATTTGGCTATCCAAGGGCAAAGCCCAGGCGCCGGGCGCCTTCCGAGCTCCACGGATTGGTTGTAAAATTAATGTGGAGAGCAAAAATTACACAAAGTATCGATAGGCAACATTGATTGGCTCGAAACTTGCATCCCTGGCACTAGACCTTATCATTCGATAACGGTGCTTATCAGCTGTTTCGCTGAAATATACAAATATGTTACTTATCAGAAGATTTTACTGCAGCTCTCAGCGAATTGGTCATATAGCCAAGTCACATAAGCCAGGTGACTCACTCAGTATTCAGGTAAAGCCCCCGATTCCGAGTTGTAGCTGGTTAAAGAATTAAAACATTCATATTATTGGCAGGGATGGATCAAAAACATTCGCCGGCTGAAGAACAACACATTTCTAGACGTGGATGATGGATCGACGAGCAGAAGATTCCAAGTGGTTGTCACACGCAATCCAGAAACACAAAACCTAACGCCGGGCAGCGTTATCACGGCCGTGGGACAGATCCAAGTGGCACCCAACGGAAACTTTGAGCTGCATGCAGATCGCGTGGAATCACTGGGTAAATCTGGTTACTGTTAAGCCTGTGTTGCACTTATCAAACCTTTGTCTTGTCCGAAAGCCGAAGGACACCTGCAGGACGGATATCCCTTCACCCCCAAGCAGAAACACGCACCGGAATATGTCCGAGAGCATCTGCATCTTCGGTCCCGTGTCGACTACGTAGCCGCCCAGATGCGAGTAAGACACAAGGCTCAGAAGGCCATACATGACTACATGGATGAGCTGCATTTTGTCCAGATCAACACTCCGCTGATGACCACCAACGATTGTGAGGGTGCCGGCGAAGTTTTTCGCGTTGAGCCTGACTCGGAGCAACTGCTGAAGCAAATGGCGCGGCCCAATGTGCCAGCAGAACAGAGCTATTTCGATAGCAAGGTATTTCTCACCGTCTCGGGCCAACTGCATCTGGAGGCCATGACCTATGGCCTGGGAAACACGTACTGCCTGGCGCCCGCCTTTCGAGCCGAGAACTCCAAGTCGCCGTTGCATTTAGCCGAATTCTATATGTTTGAGGCGGAGCTGGCGCATCTGGAAGAGCTGGAGAAGCTGGCAGGATTCATTGAGCAGATGCTGAAGTCCATTACGAACCGCCTGCTCGAGACGAGCTTCGAGGATCTACACTTCTGCCAACGGAATGCCAATGCCAGCTCGGATCTGCCTTGGCTGAATGTTCCATGGACGATCATGAGCTACGACGATGCCCTCGACGTGCTGCTGGCCAACAAGGCGAGCCTAAAGACGCCCATCAGCTTGGACGAGGGTTTCACCAAGGACCAGGAACTGTTTCTCGTCTCCCACTGTGGCACGCCCGTTTTCGTTGTGGATTGGCCCACAAAGCAGAAGCCCTTCTACATGAAAATCACCCGCACTAATCCGGATCGTGTGCATGCCCTAGATCTACTGATGCCAGCTGTGGGGGAATTGTGTGGTGGCAGCCTGCGCGAAAGCGATGCAGCCACTTTGAGCGCCCATCCACAGCTGCCCAAGGACTTGTCGTGGTATGTGGACCTCCGCAAATACGGAGGGATACCCACAGGCGGCTTCGGCATGGGCTTTGAGCGTTATCTGCAGCTCGTGACTGGTGTTAAGAATATAAGGGATGTGATACCCTTTCCCCGATATCCACATAGCTGCAAAATGTGATCAATGTGGATGAAAAATATGTACTTTTTATTGTTGAAAACTATATAAACATGCATTAATTACTTTGGGGAGGGGTGGGAACATAATTAAATTTATGCTTTAAATAATTACCGATTATTATTGGAAAGACTCTTAATTATGAAGAGGCATTAGGTTTATCAGAGGTAGAAACTCAATTGTATTCCATTTACAACTGCCCCAGCATTGGCTTGCGTCCCGGCCAAGCCTCCTTGGCGTATTTCTTTTTCTGTGGTCCCAGACCATCGCCCTCGCCACTCGAGTCGTGCGGATCCTCGGCATGGCGACGCACTTTAATGAAAAAAAATATTATTTGAAGATAAATCCGATAGGGAAAACGTTTCGAATCACTCACCTCCTGCATTGGCAACGGCCAACTTCTGAGCCAAAGTGGAAGTGGGCTCCACCTCCTCTTCGAAAACGGGCATCACCTCGGGCGCGGGATTGGGTAGCAGCAGGCCCAGCTTCGAGCCAATGCTCAGAGGAGAGATGGGCTCCAGATCGCTCTTGCCGTGAGCCTCTGGGAGCCCCTGATATAGGGAGTTTGTGGGTGACTGCGGAGACGCTTGCAAAGCTGCCATCTCTCGATGCTGAAGATGTTTACTCTCCGCCAGGCTCTGCTGGAAAATCTGTTGCACACTGGCTGCATTGGCAGCCGCCAGGCTGCTGTGCCCCGAGTGGATGCCCATGTGGTTGAGATCGTACCGCGAACGCTTGGCCGGCACCACTGTGGTCTGCACAAGGTTACGGAAGCGTCCCACATTGGGGTCCACATCCTCTGGATTGATGACGATCTCCTCGTCATTAAATGTGACATTGCGACTCCGCCGTCCCTGCTTCAAGGCGTTCTGCTTGCGCATGTTGGTGTCATCGTCAATGCCCAGCATTGAAATACGCCGGTTGTGGGCCGTGTTGTACTCGGTGAGATTCTAGAAGGGAAGACCCATTGATCGACTTGGCCTTCGTAATGTCTTGAAACTCACATCCAATTCGGTTTGGCTTTCGGGTAAACCCAGCAAGGCTCCATCACCGGTCTCGCTGATGGGCAGATCCTCCATAATGTTGGTGTGCTGGCCGGCAGACGGTCGCTCGCGCAGGATGTAGTTCCTTGTCGAAGCCCCAAAATGAAATTGGCTATTCATCTGCAGCTGTGTGGGCTTATGAGCCTCCAGTCTGAGGGTGCCAATGAACGTCCCATGGGCTGTGAACGACCATAACCATGTCCATGTTATTTCGCACAATATGGAAGATTTTTCACACTTACTGGAACCCAAATCCACGAGGTAGGTAATGTTGAGGTGTTTGTGATACACAAAGGCTGCGTGCACACGAGAGCAGGACGCGTGGTCGATGCAAAAGTCATTCATTTGACTGTTTCGACCAAATAAATAGCACTTTTTATCATCAACCATCAATTTCTGGACTAATTTGTCGTCCTTAAGCACATCCAGATGGAGACCAGTCGGCGGCTTTCCAGCCCTAGAATTTGCGGTATTGGTGTGTATTTTATGTGTTCAGATGTAGTCGCGTTCAATTACAAACCAACTGGGTATGTCGTAGCTGTTAGCCATGCGTTTAACTTGTGTTAAACAAATAGGAAAGAATTGATAAAGATTTGTTTATTATTACACACAATCCTGAAAGTGTGTACACACTTGGGTCCACAAAAATCATCAGAATAAGTAAAATATCGTTTCTATATCTTCTGTATCGATACATATTGATATATTGATGATATTTTTGTGTTTTGTTTAAGAAATATATATCGAAAATATCGATATTATTAGCTCTCAAATCGTGGTGGTTTTTCAAAATTTTCTCTTAAAGATATTAACGAAATTTTGCAGCTCGCGGGTACCAATAATAGGTATCAGAAAACATGTCAACCTAGGATAAAATCATTATTAATGTTTAAATGGAGCTTGAAACAACAAATTTAACAGCAATTAAAGGAAATACGGTATAAACAAGCCCATACGCATAGAAGAAACTTGGTTGACCAGCAACAATTTACATTTAGTCAACATTTACGTTTTATGCTTTGGCCGTTTTTTTTAACCTTATTATGTAAACAATCTAATAATAATAATAATAAAATATTTTATTGATAAATCTTGTGGTCTGTCTGTCCTTCGGAAACTAGAGCTGTCAAACGATTGATAGTTGAGCAATCGATAGTTTTGAATGTTTTTCAAATAATTATTAAGAAACCATTGAAACCTTTTAGGAACTTGTCCGTTGTAAAAATTAGATGCCACCTGTCGATTTGTTTACAAATGTGTCTTCGTATTTTATAGCAGCCAATCCAAACATATCAAAAGCGCAACGACTGTAGCTCGATACTATCATGATAGTCGCAAAACCGTCGATAGTAGCGGATAGCAGCAAAACTTTGATACTATCGATAGTGCCCTCGATGATTTGACACCTCTAATCCCCAAACAAAAACAAAACAAAATAAAAACGACTGTGGACGCGCTAATCCGCGCTTCTAAAAATTATATAATTACAGCAAACGGGTTGCGGGATTTTTAAATCCAATTAATAGTTTAAAATTGTGTTTGTGTCATTAAATGCTGAGAAGTGTGCGTCAAAGCTGCAGTCCAAGTGGCCCTGGATGTGCTGTCAAATCCAAAACCGGATCTCCGTGAGCTCACCTTTGTGACGTCGTCTATTGTCGTAGTGTTGTATTTATCATAGTTAATTAGTCGCGAAAATGGTTACGACAACTGCGATCGCCGATCTGTGCATATTCCTGCTAACCTGGAATGTTGGCACACATTCGCCCAGGGATTTGTCGCTGACATCGCTGCTGGCCTTGAATGGAACCACCAACTGTCCGGGCAACCAGCTGCCCGACATTTACGTCATAGGTATGCAGGAGGTCAGCACCAAGCAGGTGCTGAACATCTTCCAGGACGACCCGTGGGTGATGAAAATAGCCAGCCATCTGCACGATCACAAGTACGTGAAGGTGGACTCCAAGCAGCTGCAGGGAATACTGATAACGATGTTCGCCCAACACAAACACATTCCCCACATGAAGAACATCGAAACGGAGGCGACCAGAACTGGCCTGGGGGGCCTGTGGGGTAACAAGGGTGCAGTAAGCATCCGCCTCAGTCTGTATGGGACTGGAGCCGTCTTCGTGTGCTCTCATTTGGCGGCCCACGACGACAAGCTGAAGGAACGCATCGAAGACTACCACCAGATAGTGGACAACCACAAGTACGAGGCCTCGGGCTATCGTCGCATCTTTGACCACGACTTTGTCTTCTGGTTTGGAGACCTCAACTTCCGACTCTCTGGCGAGACCAGCGCATGGGACGTGCGGACCGCAGCGGAAGGTATGCGCTATGAGGAGTTGCTCAAAGAGGACCAGCTAAACCTGCTGAGGGAGTCGGGGAATGCCTTTAGCTTGCTGGAGGAGCAGGCACCCAACTTTGCACCCACTTTTAAGGTGATTGAAAAAAACAATTCAATTTCCCTTATCAGAAATAATAAAAGGTTTTCCTCTTGTAGTTCATCGAGGGCACTAATGACTACGACCTGAAGCGACGCCCTGCCTGGTGTGATAGGATCCTGCATCGCGTGCAGCGCAATATTTATCCGGCCGTTACCCTGAGCGCCACCCAGCTGTCTTATCAGTCGAATATGGAGTATACCCTCTCCGACCACAAGCCCGTATCTGCGACATTCAATTACAAAGTGGAGACGGCTAATCAGACCGACGAGGAGCTGCATGAAATGACCCATGCCGGCGCCGCTACACCCGGCACGCCAAATGTTAGTTTAACCTTCGCCTTTATCGTGCTTGTAGCCTTGCCTTATACTCAACTCTGATTTCGCTTCTTTTTGTAGTTGTTTAATGCCCAGCTAGAGCAATGGTGATGCAACCATGACGTCAATTAATTGTTAAATCACTTGTTAAAGCTTTCTAGATCAAATCTAAGCAATAGACATAATTAATTGTAATTTCCTTACAGAAGAAATCTGTGAAACGAATACGATATTAAGAGTACAATGTAAAGGAATCTCATTACGCCTTAGAATCAATCAAGCAATCTACTCAAGTGTCAATCCTCGAAGTGCAAAGATATCTACATACATATATACTATCTATCGAAATAACATTTACATAATTCTAAAGACTAACCTGCTGCATATCGAACATTGATTCAAGTTGTATTAGACAACGGTATTTTTCTACATATGTACGAGTATATAAATTTTAAATCGAAATAAAGACTTGTTTTTAACTGGCAATCGAATTGACTCATCTCTCAGATCTATTTAAATAAATATTTACATATACATACTGACAAAAACAACAACACGCATATACGCATATTTATTCAGAAATGTTTTTTTGGGTTTATTTCGTACGACATCGACGCGTTGTCTATTCTTTATTAGCTAGGGGGTTTTCGGTTCCTTCGGTTTTGAACAGTTCTTTATATTGTACATACATTTGCTTGAAGGGGTCGGGGCAGGGGGGGGGGGGGCAACGTAAGGTAGTACATAATATAAGTATATAAGCCACCTTTAAATTATTATTAAAGCGCTTTGCCTTTGCCTTAAACTTAGAGCATACTCATGGTACATTATGGTATCATATCGTATGGATAAAAATCTAAATTAAATGGTAGGTAAGATACATAGTTCCCTTTCTTTTGCACAAAAGTAGTTCATAATAAATATAAATATATATATGTATATGTATGTATGTGTATGTAGGTGTATATGTATATTTTTGGATGAAGCGTTTCTTGTATTGGGGGGATAAATGCTACAGTAAAAATTATCGTAAAATTGCCTCTCCTCAGTTTTCTTCCGTTTAAGCGTTCAGGGAGGTGGGGTGAATGAATGATCGTCAGATGGCACAAACAACCAAACAAAGGAATTGAAAACAGAATTACAATCTCCAATGGGGAGGGGATATTTGTTCGTGATTTCAAATGGGAGTGCTCTTTTGCATTTGATGTTTCTTTCTGTTCAGTGTTTTTGAGTTATACTTCTTAGTTTGCTAACGGACGTTTTGATCATTATTTTTATTATTGAACTGTTTGCTTAAATACAAACGCGATTTCGTAGTGTCACAGAACTCTTTGTTTTTATAACCATATATTTGCCATTTGCCATGGCCAAGTGTGGGTCCATGCCATATTTGTGGTTCGCTTCAGTAGAAGTAAGAACGCGGCGCCGAACCACATAGCAGAGCCACATCGTGTGCCACTGAACAACAAACAAACATACATAGATAATATCTAACTAGTTACATAGATAAGATTGTGTGTGTTTGTTTGGGGTTTGGGTTTTGGGTTGTGGTTGTGTGTGTGTGTGGTACTCATAAGTATAATCTCCAGTCAAGTTTTCGTAAAATTTCGATTTTCTATTGTAGAACACATTTTTCCTTCCCACCGCTGATATCCACTTGCTCCAGTTCCCTGGCTATCTCGTGATCGTCTTCAATGCTACAAATAATAAATGAAAATTCTTTTGGGTTCTGTTATGGGGGAGAAGGAGGTGGCATAACTTACGCAATCTCCTGATTGTGCAGACGTTGAACCAACTGATCCCGCTTATCCACAATTGTAACCAGCTCCTCGAGCAGCAGTCGCTCCTTCTCGCGCTGCACCTCCGTCTTGCGCCAGTCCTCCACTGATTGGGCCGCTCGCAGTTCCTGATTGAGCATTGTAAACTTTCGCTCCAGATCTTTCTCTTGCTCGCTGTAAGTCCCATAAGAATGAGCAATGCATTCCGAGCAAAATATAGATAGATAGAGCCACACTCACAGTATATTCAATTGCATTTGCCGCCTGAGGAGCGCGTTCTTCTTGTTAACCAGCGTGAACCACTGCGATAACAGTTGCTCCTCCGTTTCCTCGGTTTCTGTGGGTGGGGAACGAACGAAACGTGTTAAGATTACAACGGCATGCACAAACACACACAAATGGTTTCTATAATCTATAAAATGCTAATTGTAGTTCAAAGTGTAGTTTAGTTTAGTCTAGGAAGTAGGACTCCTTCGGCGGTTTTCAAAAGCTGTGGCAGAGATGACAGACTCTGTGATTAGTGAGAATTAGTGAGACGTTCTTTAGGTAGAGCTTGGAGCTTCCTTCGAACAAAGTTAGACACAATCGGGAGCAGGTTTTTGTTTTGTTTTTTTAAGAACGGGTAAGCAAAAGGTAGGAACACACAAAACGAACAAACGGCAAACAACAAACAGCACAGAGCAGACAAGGATACAGCAGAAGGTACAGGGTATGAGCGATGCGATGCGATGCGTTGCGGTTTTAGGCTACGAAAACGGCGGCAGGCGTTGGTGAGGCGGCGGTTTGGGGGTGCTGTTGTAGTAGCAGCGCATGGCGGAAGCAGTTAGGAACTCAATGAATCTTAGTGGATGGACTGGCAGGCACTTTACCGCAATGGGTGCGAGAGTGGGATCGGCGGGAGCGCCGTTGATGGTGGCGCCGCTTGTGGCGATCCTGCTGCCGCCGAATGGAGGCCACATGTCCTGTGGCTGCCATGGCCAGGGCATCATCATCGTCGCTGCACACTGGCAGATTGTCATAGGAGGACTGCTGGGAGGACATGCCCGAGGCGGAACTGCTTAGCAGATGACTGTAGGGCACGACATGATGCACATGATGCGGTCGCGGCCGCAAGTGTTGATGTTCTTGATGGCATTCATGGGTTGTGGGGCTGGTCGATGGATGATGGTCTTTATTCACATTTACAAAACACGAATGGGAGCGGGGTCGCGCCCGCGGCCGTCTCAGTGCCTGGCCCTGGGTCAGCACCTCATCGTCCGAGATACAGGCGCTATCGCTGGAGGTTTCATCGTCATCGCTGGTTGTACCCGCTGGGGTACCCATACCCGCCCTCCCGCATGCTCCTCCACTACCGAACAAGCTCTCATCGTCGGAATCAAGCAGCTTAATGCGAATCACGTCACCACCACCAATACTATTTCGGATTAGCCTAAGGAACGGATTGCCGTTCCGATTGGTTCGATTATTACTTGGATTGCCGCCCATCACTGCGCGTAGCTTAGCCTCCAGACTGCTGGCCTTCTGGTCGATGGCCTCCTGCTCCCGCTCCAGTGCCTCCAGTTCGGACTCGATGTAGGATAGCTTTTCACCCTGCAGAAAAACAGTAGATGAGAACTTAACCGCTCAATGTAATCTTATGTTAGCTTACCCTCTTCTCGTGCTTTGGTGAGATGCGGTCCACAATCGCATTGAACGATTGCAGTGGACTGCCGTTGACGTTGACTCCCCCGGAGAGGGCATTGCTTAATCTATGACTAGGACTGATCTTGTTTCCCCCACTGCCTGGCTCCGAATCGTCCAACTTCTTCAGATTCTCGAAGTAGAACTCCTCGGAGCCGTTCTGAATGGGCGAAATGGTGCGCTCGGGCGAAAAATTGAAGCGCTTGGTCTTCGTGGGGCTGGTGGGACTGTCCATAGTTTTGGTTCGGGTCTCCAGTATCAGGCGACGTGCCTGCTCCCGCAACCGCTGCTGACGCTCCTCCTGCGAAAGCAAACAAGGGCGATAATTGTGTTAGCATTGATTGATTAGCTGGCAATTGCGATGCATGCAAGTGATAGGCTGCCGCTGGCGCTGCGGCCGGACTGTGTCTCTGGCAAAACGAAAGCTACTTACGTCGTTCGCATCGCCGCGATCGCCGCCGCTGCCGTTGGCCAACTTTAACTTTTCCATCATAAGCTTAGCTTTTTCACTCATTGCCTTGTGGCGCGTTAAAATTCGCTATAAAACAAACCAAAAGTAAAGCGAAAAAAAAGAAAACACAAAAAAAAACCAAATCATATTTACAGCAACGAAAAGCTTAACTACAACATGAAATCAATTCAAAAACTGCAACAAAACGAAGCACTGCGGAAGCTACAGCTACCATTTGGCTGCTGGCAGTTCTACTCACATTTGCCGCATGTGCATCCAGCACGGATAAAGCTGCGTTTTCCTTGCCCCCCACCTGCGCAGCGTTCATTGAACTCTCCTCGCCTTCATCCACAAACAGGGGCTGAGTCGGCGGTGACGTCAGGCATGACTGATTCGACTGATTCGTATGCTGCAATGCGTTGATCGAGTTTTTGTCCTTCGTGGGGGACAGCACTTTGCCCAGGATATTCTTCGAGTTGTACAGAATAAGGTTCTTCACATCCTTTTTGGTCTGCGGCGACATTTGCTGGGCCTTGTCCAATGAAAAGATTTCCTCGTCGAAGGAGTTCTGATGCAGCAGCTGCGTCTTTAGGTGCGAAAAGTTGAGGTTCTGCGACAAATTGTCCGACTTGTAATTGCCAATAACGTAGCTCGACTCGTCCGAGGTTGTGCCTGGCAAAAAAGGGACAGGGTAAAATTGATTCTTTATACGAATTTCATTAGTTTACTTACCGATTTGTTCGATTTGAAGCTGCTTGCCGGTAAAGTGCGCCCGCAACTGGTGCAGATATGTCATGACAGCAAGCTTATCCGGCACTGTTAGCAGATTCATGTCTCGCGGCTCAATGACACGGGGTATGCCCAGCGACTCGGCCGCATCGAAGGCAATGCGACAGTTGCCAACCACGTCGTGGGCACTCAGCTTGGACATGTCGCTGAGAAATGGTGACAGAAGATTAGCATGAACGTTGCAGGATCTCTGGCCAAAGAGAAACTCACATCAGATCCGGAACAAAATGATGAATGATGGCACAGAAGGCCATGCCGTTGCGCCAGCTGGTGGTTAGGTTTGTAACCTTAACATTTGGATAGTCTTTGGTAACTTCTTTGCACCACTCGAGCAGATCCTGGCCCGGGGTGTTCTCCTTTAGCACAATCTTCTCCACGGGCTTTAGGCTGTTCATCCCACCACCGCTCACTGCACTCGATTGCGATTGGACAGAATCATTAAGCGTTGGGGCGGGGGCAGGAGCCACTGGCTCGTAGCTCTTCTTCAGATTCAGGGGCTGCAGCTCGGCACGCTTTGCATTGGACGAGGCGGCATCCTTGCTGCTCCTTGTGGGCTCTGGTGGGGCTGCCACCGTGGCCGTGCTGCTGTTGTTAACGCTCTTCGAGGCGTCCTCCTTCTTGGGCTCAGCCGGCAGATCGACAACTGGCCTGTACTCCTCCTTCGCGTCGAAGTTTAAGGCCTTTCCCTTCTTTGCTTTCGCACTCTCCTTGGCAGTGGCTGCCTTTGGTTCCAGAGGTGTGGATGTGACCACCTTGGCGAAGCCTTCGCTGTGATTGTATCCCAGTGAGCCAGCGGGTGTCTTCTGCTGTTCCATTTGCCTGTGCTTTTCACCTGTGCCCCTGCTGGGCGTACTCTCCACCACTGGCTGCAGTCCGTTGGGCGTTTTGGAGCCCTCTTCGGCGGCAGCAGCAGCAGCAGAAGCTGCTGGCAATTCAAGCGTATGCGAAGCTTCCCGTTCGCCATCGGCTTCTAGTTCAAAATGCAATTGATTAAAGGACTCGGCCAATGGTGTGGGATCTTCAGATAACGAAGGTACTACACAGAGCAACAAACGGAAAATAAACGAAAAACGAATAACGAAATTTACATTTACATTTGCACGCACAAGAATACGAGAGTTGCGGGGTAATTCATTCAAGATACATGGTTTGTGTTTGTGTGTGTGTGGATTGGATAGAAAGGAAAGTAAATATTGTTTGAGTATGAGGAATTATTGTACAGATATGTGTCTACCACTAAGAGTTATATACTAAGTTGAATTAACATACTTAATCTAATCTAATCTGATTTGTACATTTGGAAATACATCGAAACATCAAGAGTGTTTGTGCATACAAAGGATGGGCATGGGAGACGACACTTACCACTTAGCGGCGTGGCCACATCTATGCAGCCATTGAGGCTCGTTGTCATCTGCTCCAGTTGATGGGTGAAATCGTACAGGTTGTCCGTGATTTCGCTGAAATTGTCAAGGTCCGGTATATCCTCCAGATCATCTAGCGGCGCCACATCACAGTTGTTGTTCACCGACATCATTGAGACAACGCTCTGCATGTCCTCATCTCTGTAAAACCCATACCCATCTGCATATAGTGGATTGGATCGCCGGATGTGTGGGGTGTCTGTGTACTCACGTTGCCTTGCCCTCTCGGAGGAACACACAGCTGATGGTTAGTTCCAGGCTGGCTGCGGTTATCTTCTTCGAGACCGGCTTAAGACTCAATGTAAAGCTCTGCTGAGTAGATTCGATGCTGGCGTACCTTCGCATATTGATGCTGGCGCTGGCCAGCACACGTTTCTTTCCCATGGGCGTGACCTAACAAGCAGAAAAGATGTAAGTAAAGTGTACTTTTTGGTTACATTGCTCACTCACATCTTCTATGACGAATGTCCAATCCTTATCCTCCAGCTCGTGAGTGCGGGGATCCTTGAACAGAGTGACGGATATGGTGTGATTGTCCGGCACTGGCCAGGATATATTGCCCAACAGGGGATTCATCATATCCGGCTCCCATGGTAAGGGTGCACTGGCCACGCGTCTCGATCTCCTTGTCCACACAATGGAGAGATTTGATGGCCGCCTTGAAAGATGATTATTAAATTATATATGTATGTATGGATTATCTGTTTCTGAGCAATCTGCAAGTGCCTTCAACTCGAATCTATTCTAAGAACATTCGCGGGTTTATTATACATTTCAATATGTATAAATGTATGTACAATTGAATGAATAACATTTTTTGTTCCCGGATAAAGACGAAATATTTACAAATACATATGTGGGCTCTTGACCGCTGATATGCCAACCCTCTTGTATACAGATCTGTACATATTCGTATATGCAAGTGATGATTAAACAGAGCAATCTGCATAAAAGAGTTTTGAATATCAACAGGAAGTGGGGCCATGTACGTGTATATAAGCACATACTATGTACATAAAGCTACTTTAAGAGCCACTTGAAAACGGGAAATTCCTCACTTTCGCCTGACCAGAATAGCTCTAAATACTTGAATCCCATGCATAGATATACCTACATACAGATACATATGTATCTCCTCTCACTTACCATTTAGCGGTGGTCTCCAGGTGCAGGTCGTGGTAGGATGCGGTGAACTGGAACTTTGCCGCTCGCTTAAAATTGCGCTGTAAACGCTTCCAGACACTGCCCATGACGACACTTGTGGGACGACCCTACGTGCGTTTTGTGGGGATGTTGAGGGGGGGTGGGAGCTTCTTGTATAAAAGTTATCTCCGCTTCGATTCTCGTTGTGGCTGACGACTTAAGTCTCTTAGTTCATTTTGTCGTCCTGTCATAAATCAGCTGCTGGTGCTGCAGTCGACCTTAAAAGCACAAGGGGGGCGCAATAATTGATTAGAATGTGCTTCAAACGCCTGGCACTAGGCTATGGATAATCTGGATTATATTTCTGGGTCGTTCATACAAAGAGAGTGCACTCTTCAGATACTTGAGAGATTTTTGCTTATAATTTTGCCTGCGACACTAGACCTGCCTAGACATGAGTCGCCACTAAAGCATTTTATTTAATCTATCATTTCTAAACACTTTTTCTTTTATTCTTTTAAGGATGTCGTCTCCTCTCGCTTTGTTGTCTGCAAAATACTCAAAAAATACACGCACACACACACACACAGAAGCACACACGGATACGCACGATTGTCCCTCCCACCCTCAGCACGCTATGTATCGTTTCGTAGTATTTGTTGTTTTGCCATTGCACTGTGTTTTTTTTGTGACCTTTAGTTGTCACTTTTGTCGCGTTTTTGTTGCTTTTCTTATAAATACTTTCGAGAATTACAGCTTATTGCTAGTTTTGTTTTTATCTATTAATGGCTGTGTGTATGTGTTTGTTTGCGTGCGTCGCTTTTGAGTGTATACCACACTAGCCAATCCAATATTTAGCAAAACTCTGTATCCCAAATATATGAATGTTTGTCTGTATATACATAAATAGCACCATTATGACGTCACTCTTGTTTTGGTCTCTGAATTATTTTCAAGGCCCTCTATACATCGATACGATACGTGCAACGACACTCTTCCTTGAGGTTTCGCGAGTGTACTTGACTTGCCTACGATCGGTTTTATCACACAACACAAACATACATTTAATTCTTTCCTGCTCGACTGTTTGTAAATACCGTAATATAGAGGTGTCAAACCATCGAGGGCACTATCGATAGTATCGATATTTTACTGCTAGCCTCTACTATCGACGGTTTTGCGACTATCATGATAGTATCGAGCTACAGTCGTTGCGCTTTTGATATGTTTGGATTGGCTGCTATAAAATACGAAGACACATTTGTAAGCAAATCGACAGGTGGCATCTAATTTTTACAATGGACAAGTTCCTAAAAGGTTTCAATGGATTTTTAATAATTATTTGAGCCCGATACTATCACAATAGTATCGATTGTTTTTTCAAAACATTCAACGTTGATATTCCTCGATTTTGATATTCCGTTTAATATTACTAGCTAGCTGGGACTCTCAGCCCTAAACAAATAATTTTATCAGATAGATACATTAATTTTGTTCAGGATTGACAAGTTTTCAGAAGTCTTTTTTATTGAATTGTTTACATAAAAAGGTTCAAACAAAAACAACATAAAACGAATGTGGCGTCGTTTTGTTGCGCTGCCAGACTCGTGCAATTCGTAGTTGCTGCGGGCTGCCATACCCTGATATTTTGTGATATGAAATTCGTCAATTTTGATATTCAGCTTAATATTACTAGATAGTTAGCCCTCTCAGCCCTAAAAAAAAAATTTTATCGAATTCCTCAATGAATTTTGTTTAGGATTGGCTAGTTTTCAGAACTATTTTTAATGGGATTGTTTAGATAATAGGGTTCAAACAAAAACGGCCAAAGCATAAAACGTAAATGTTGACTAAATGTGACGTCAGTGTTGCTGGTCAACAAAGTTTCTTCTATGCGTATTTACTTTTGTATACCTTATTTCTTTTGATTGATGTTAAATGTTTTGTTCCAAGCTCCATTGAAACATTATTTATGATTTTATCCTAGATTGACATGTTTTTCTCCTATAAATGCACATGTTTGTGTTTTATATATACATTTATCCCGGTTCTGATACCTATTATTGGAACCCGTGAGCTGCAAAATTTCGTTAATATATTGAAAACAGAGACTGAGTAGTTTCTGCATTAATTGGAGCCTGAAATTACAAACAATATCTCAAGTCCATAATATCCATTTTCCCAAGGTATGCAGATTGTTGCTCATCCCGTGCCAAAGTTGCACAACAGTGCTGCTACTTCATTCCCCATGTTGCTGAAATTTTTCCCATACAAATCAAATGCATCTTACGGGAACGTTTCTCACACCTGAAAAGAGAGCAAATTTTGAAAACCCACCAAGAATTGAGAGCGAATGTCAGTATTTTTTGTGCGCTAAATGAGTTTGGCGGTCATTTTCAAATGTATATACATATATGGAAAAATAAATAGTTTACTTGATTTGTTTTGTCGAGTGTGACTGGAACCTCAGAAACCTCAGAAGCCGAGAAAAAAAAATAGCTTAACCCCGCTCTATTTAATCAGGTTAGTAACCAGTAAATATAAACAAAAAAATATATAATAATTATTTGAGCCCGATACTATCACGATAGTATTGACTGTTTGTAAATACCGTCATATACTAAACAATTTATGAAATATACTAATTTATAAACCGATATACCCTAAATTATGAGTGACTAATCGAACTTAACTCACTTAGCCCCCATTAATTAAACAAGTGAAAAACTTGAGCTAGACAACGGAAAATAAATGATAACGAATTATCTTGTAAATTCTCCTTCCTTCTTACCTCAAAAAATATAAATATATAAATCTTTCAAGTCTAGTCTGGTAGGGACGCTGTCTGCAGGGCTGCAGACGCATAAAGTGGTATCGATAGTTGGAATGGTTAATTGATTTGCGCGCAAATAAACTGCGTTTCGTTAATTAATTTGGAAATTAAATAATTATATGTAGGTATTTAATAGCCAAATGTTTGTTTTAAACGCAATTCGATAATTTTTATTTATAATTAAATCATGGTTTCATTAATAATAATTACAATTATTTAAAAATTAGACGTGGCTGCTGCTGCATTTCGATTTGTATGATCAAGAGAATGTTGATTTAATTGAATGTGAAATTATTTTGTTTTTTTTTCTTGCATTTACTTCGTTTCGTTTTTGTTTTGCCGTTATAAGTCTACACATATGCTATGTAAGTGTGGGTGTACATATGTATGAGTCTTTGAGTGCAGCTGGGTGTTAGTGTGTGTGCTGTTGCAGCGGCGTGGCAGTGGCTTTCTATCGCGTTGTTATTTTTCTTCTTTGCAATTTAATTTAATTTCTTTTTCTTTCCAATAAACAAAAATAAAAAAGCACAAAAAAATGATAAGCTGATTAGTGAAGGGTGGGGGGTGTTTTGAAGGGCCGACGACCATGTGGCGAGGTACAGATACAAAAAAAATGCGTATCACAAAAATATGGTTAGAACAAAATGGTTATAAACATGTCATAGTGGTGCATGAAACGAAATATATCACAAACAATTCGCTATCAAATAATTTAAAAGATAATCACAATTGGTTCTGAACCATGCAACTGAAATTATCGATCCTACAACCGAGAAATGTGTTAAAAATGCTTTGTACATATATTAATTCGCTGCCGGGTGTTCGTGCATACACATGTACGAGTATATATATATACCTAGCTGCCACGCCATTAAACCACACAGATGCCCGTCTAAGTTTTGCGATTCGACTGGCCCTGGGCCTGCGCCTGCTGCTGTCCCTGCTTGCAGAAGTCCTTGTACGCGCGCTCGGTCTCCTCGTCCATTTCGGGATCGAGATCCAGGTCGCCGTCCCGTACATCGAACTCGTCGCCTTCACTGCCATTGGCATCGTCCTCGGCAGCAAGGAAGTCCGTCTCCTCGGCAGTCAGCTCATGGCCATCTGGGCCGTAGAAAACGGGCTCATCGCTGAGGCGCGGTGGCTCTGCCACAGTGTCCTCCTCGCCACCGAGGGCATTGGAGACCTTGCGGCCCCAATTGTTCTGCTGCAAGGCAATGACACTAGCGGCCATTGCATACTTGCCGGGGGATTTCAGTTCAATCTCTTTCAGAGCTGTGATTATAATCAGCATGTCTTTTGGGCAGTCGGCGGTGAGGTCGTAGCCGGCCAGCTTTAGGGTCTGACAAATGCAGCGCACGTTTTCTGCACTTTCGGAGGCCAGGAGCTTGGTCAGAGAGTACACAATGTTAACGGCAATGAGTTGGATACGGGCATCGTCGTCCCCACGGAGCTGCATGTACAGCTCGGCGAGGAAGAGCGCAGTCTCGCGCACCTTCTGCTGCTCGCCAGAAGTCATATACTTGGACACCTCCTCCTGGTGGTAGTCGAGCTTCAATTTGAGCAGAGTGTGGAATAGCGAGTCCGGCTTGGGGTTCAGCATATGCAACAAATTGTACAGCTTGGCCCCCATGTATCGGAAGTTTGGCTGCTCGATGGATTTCTCGAATATATCCTCCATGGCGATCGACAGCACGTAGTGGTTGTTCTCCATGCCGTCGAAAATGGTTAGGAAACGTGATGCGATTGTATCAAATTGGCCCGGATTCTGAAAGAACGATCAAATAGTAGTACGCGATTAGTGGGACAGATCCCAAATGAAACGGAATGCTGGCTGAACTCACCTGGTTAAGGCAATGTATCACTGTATCGAGATACTCCAATGCAATGGTAGCCATGTCCGGCTGCGACGCGGTCGACGACGACGAGGACGAGGCTGCTGCGGACGAAGTGGAGGCTTGCGGCTGCTGCTGCTGCTGTTGATTTTGGAAATACTGCTGCTGCTGCTGTTGTTGCTGCTGTTGCTGATGGTGTTGGAATGAATTATTTAAATGAGTGTAACGTTGGAATTTCCCGTGTTGATGTTGTGTGTTCTGTTGGTGTGGCAGTTGCTGCTGTACCTGCTGCTGATAGTAATTGCCCCCCATTGAGCCATTGTTCGAAGACTGCTGATTGGATATGTTCAGACGACTTTGGAGAGAATTCGGGAGATTTTGCATATCGTTCTTAAACTTTTGCTGATGCTGGTGGTGATGATGGTTATTGTAGTGTTGCTGATGCTGCTGATGATGGTGCTGCTGCTGGTGCTGATGATGATGCTTGAAGCCATTGACATAGCGTTGCTGCTGCTGCTGACCGTAAGGCGCTGATCCTCCGGGCTGGTGCTGCTGCTGATATTGCTGGTGTCGCTGTTGGGGCGCGACTGCCCTCGGTATAAAAATAGTGGCGGCCGCCGACAGTTTCGACGAGCCGTCAAAGCCGCTGGCCAGCTCAGACAAAGCCTGGGCCTGGGCCTGTGCGTAACCGACAGCCTGGCCAGGAGCGTACTCACTCTGGGCATAGCCCGCGGCTCCTCCATAATCGTTGAATAGGTGCGCCTGTTGGTCTAGGGGGATGGCGGCGCCATGGGCCAAGCCAGCGGCGGCGGCGGCGACATTGCCCCCGGTATTCGGTCGACGTAGTTGCTCATACTGGTCTTCGGGTTGGAAGGGTGCGCGGCATGACATAGCGATAGCGGCGTCGTTCTCGAAAACTATAAATAAAAAAACACAATCAGCTCTGAACACGTTTTAAACAGCACCAAACAAATCACATTCATGTTCCAAAGATGCGGTTACGTCGACGCCGAGCGCCGACGCCAATTCCGCCACAATTGCGGACATTTTGTTTCTTCGCTAGGTGATTTTTTTTTTTTAAGCACAAAGAATCGTCTTCTTATATTTGCTTTACTGACTTGCACTGACCCACAATACTTTCTGACACTGATGCTTGACTTTTTCAATGCCTACCTTAATTTGATCAAAATTATACGTATACGTCGCTCGTTTTTTTTTTTCGTCTTGCTTGCGTTGTCACCTTTGCTTTGCTGTCTTTCAACTTTCGCTTGCTCGTGTCTCCGTGTCTGTCGGAAATAGATTAATGGCCGATAAGTTCACGTGTTTTTACTATGCATAACTTGAGATGCGTGATGCTAATATTAAATTATTTGTTGTCTCTATACTTTACCCACCAATTATTTCTTTGGAAAAGATAATTACCAATTTCGCCTTTTCACTGTCGGGTGCAGTGTAATCTGGGGAGAGATATCAACATATCGATATATATCTTTGTTGATAATATATTTGTTGGTGATAGTTTTTTGGACTGGCGAAAGTTTTTGGAAAATGGCTATTTCTGTGGGATATAATATTCAAGGGAAGTACTTTTCTGAATTCTGTGAAAAATTACACTACTTTGCTGTTGTTTCATGTTGTTAATAAAAAATAAACGAGTATTTTGATTTTTATCGATGGCCAGGGTAAGCTGCAAGAAATATCGGTACTTTTGTGCGATAAATAGAACGAATTCGGCGGTAATTTAAAAATAACAATAACATTCAATTTTGTGCCATTGAGGGATATGTCCCAGTACAGCATCGAATTCCTGATGTTTTTAGATACAAATTAATTTAAATTCAAATCTTTTATATTTGCTATCGAGATTGGTCGTTTCGAGTATTTATTCGCCCCCACTAGACGGTCACACTAGACAGTGTTGTTGTTGTGCTTCATGTGCGCAATTTTTTTGTGCAATTTTATTTTTTTTTAATCTTGTCGCAATTCTCGTAGTGTGTGATAACTAAGACAATGTGAAACACAAAAGAACGCAGAACTCGTTCAGCCGATGTCTCAACTAGCATAAGATAAAGTGCAATACATACGTATAGAATTATTTCTCTTTTAATGTAAGGACAACGGTTTCGTTATAAATAAACACAAACGTAAGTATTAGTGTGTGGCATTCGTTCGTATATATGTATAGGCAGGTTGCAGGTGCAAATGCACTGGTATTGTGCAGTATAATTGTTCTACTAGTGCCAAAAATCTAAAATATAATTTATTTACGCGTATTACTAACACCATACCCCGTACCTCTCCCCCTCCTGTGTGCATACGTGGTTGTTTTTCACCCCGCTTCTTTTGTGTTTTGTTTCTCTTTTCATAAATTCAAGGCATTGTGACTCAAGAGCGTGCGCACACACACACACACACTCAAACACAATTACTCCAAGTTCATTCACTTGTATCGTATCTCTCTTGTTATGCTTAAGTAAAGCCACATTTTATCTGCACAACCAGCCAGGCTTCCACTCGCATTCGGGATTCCCGGGTATGAGTCACCTGTCGTCGATTTGGCGGGAACAGATAGTTCGACCGATAGTTTTAATCAAAGAGTTAATTTAATAAGTAAATATAGTTTAGTGTCCGAGTTTGGAGACGAGACATTGCACAGATTCTAACTAGAATTTCCTTTTATGATCGTGTGTTGCTATTTATCACGAATTCCGAATCTTTTCGAGTTGAACAAGTTTTTTTTTCTGATTTCCTTGACGAGCAGCACACAGAAGGAGCAGTCATGGCCCACGATCGGTACACGTATCTAATTTCACCATTCTCTGATAGTTTTGGATACTCTGTTTTTCGTTTAAGTGGGTCAAGACTTGTGGACAAAGAGTAACAACACAATTTTTATTGCAGTCTATTTTTATAAACACCACAATAGACACTGATTTGAATGAGATGCATTACCATTACAAGGACATATTGTCCGTGTTTTTGGACGCCTTCATCGAGGACTTTGACTGCAAGGATGTGGAGGACTCGCTGCGCTCAATACTAAGCAAACGGGAAATCGACTTCATCCTCGCATCGAATCAAACGAATGTCGGCATCTACCTTTTATTTTGGAAGCTGCTCGAGAAGCCCGAGATCATCGTTCAGAGGTTCGTCGAGGAGGTTCTCAACAATCGCGATGGGGCCAACTATGAATTCCTGATGACGCCCATCAAGGCCGAGTATCTGCAGCCGAGCCCCAACACCATGCTGTACGTAGAGCAGCGGGATCGCCTGTTCAATGACAACCAGGTCTTTTCCAAGTACAATGTGCCGCGCCTGAAACCGGTAAGATATTCGATTAATAAAATGTTTAAACTTTAAATTGTTTTTCAATATATGTACGTTCTGTGGACAGTATCTGGACTTGACCAAGGCTCTGTTGGAGCTGAGGCCAGCCAAGAATGTCCTCGTCGATGGCCCACTGGGCTCCGGCAAGCAGTGGCTTGTGCTCGACGTATGCTGCTCGTACAAGGTGCAGCAGAAGATGGACTTTAAGATATTCTGGCTGAACGTTAAGAACTGCAACAGCCCCGAGGCAGATCTCGAAATGCTACTCACACTACTCCACCAGATCGAGCCGAATTGGAGCGGCCGATGTGACTCTGGCACCTGGAACATCATGCAACGCATTGACAGCGTGAAAGTCGAACTGCGGCGCCTGCTCAAGAGCAAACCATACGAAAACTGTCTGCTGGTGCTGCGCAATGTGCAGAGCGTTCGTACCTGGAAGGCGTTCAATGTCGGCTGCAAGATACTCCTGACCACACGCTACAAATGCGTCACCGATTACCTGTCCGCGGCGACCACCAAGCATGTGCCGCTAAAGGATGCCCTCACGGAGCACGAGGCCGAGTCGTTAATTGTCAAGTATCTCCACTGCAGGCCAGAGGATCTGCCCCGGGAATTGGCGACGACAAATCCACGCAACCTGAGCATTATGGCGGAGAGCATACGCGACGGCCTGGCCACGTGGGATAATTGGAAAGAGTGAGTGTGGCAAAATATAATGAAATTCCCTTTTTACAATCGCTTAAATATCTTTTTTTTTCCTCGCAGTGTGAACTGCAATAAACTGACGAGCATTATCGAGAGCTCACTGAAGGTACTGGAGCCGTTTATAAATAGGAATATGTTCGATAACCTCTTCATTTTCCCTGCATCGGCCCGCATACCCATCCATGTGAGTGTCTTGTTTGGTTCCATTGGAAATAAATGATCTAATCTTGAATCTTTATTCGCATGCAGCTCCTATCTCTGGTTTGGTCGGACGATAAATCAGATAGCGACGATCCGATGGTGGTGGTGAATAAGTTGCACAGATACTCCTTGGTGGAGAAGCAGACCCATGACTCGACCATAAGTATACCCGCGATATACTCGGAGTTGAAACTTGAGGTGGATAACGCTGCTGCACTCCACCAACGAATCGTTGATCATTACAAGTGCGTATTATATTGAGTCCCTGATTTCCATAGAGTATTCCATTTACAATCCAAAATTCTATTCTGTTTCTTGCGGCGTCAGCATCACAAAGGCATTCGACGATGATGACGATCTGACGGTGCCCTACCTGGATAGCTATTTCTATTGCCATATTGGCCATCATCTGACCCAATTGAAGCACGCCGAGAGCGTGGCTCTGTTCCGCAAGATATTTCTTGACTTTCGATTTCTTGAGCAAAAGATACGACACGATACGACAGCATGGAATGCCAGTGGCTCGATACTGAACACTTTGCAACAATTGAAATTCTACAGATCCTTCATAGTCGGTATGCATTCCCTTCGTTCCTGAAATGTGCATTAAGTTAACCCCATTTTGGTGCTGCCATCTAGACAATGATCCCAAGTTTGGGCGCCTGGTGAATGCTCTACTGGATTTCTTGCCAAAGATTGAGGAGAATCTCATACGCTCCAAGTTTACGCGCCTGCTGCGCATTGCTCTGATGGACGAGGAGGAGGCCATTTACGCGGAGGCCTACCGACAGGTGCAGCGTTTCGGCGATCAAGTTTGGTTCACAGAGCAGTAAGTAAATGGTTTTTTGCTCGTAATTAAACTACTACAATCACGGCTTAACATTCCTTTTGTAGTGGTCGCTTTCATCAGCATCGGCAGATCATCAACCTGGGGGAGAATGAGGTTCAACACGCGCTATACCTGAACAATGACTTCTGCCTGATGGCTCTGGCCAGCAATCAAATGCTGCTGACCGACGTTTCACTGGAGGCGGAGGACACGTATCTGCTGAAGGATGACAACGACAGCAGCAACATCCTGAAAATGGCCGTGTTCAATCAACAGAAGCACCTGCTCACGCACCACAGCAATGGCAGTGTGAAGCTCTGGTCGCTGTGGGCCGAGTGCTTTGGCCGGCGACACAGCAGCGGAAGTCGCCAGCGTGTACGGCCGCCACACCTTGCCCATTTGCGGAAGTATGCGGCGACGCGTTCGTACAAGCAGCTGGTGAATGGCGTTGCCAAGCGCGCCATGAACAGCTACCAGAGCATTGACCAGAACATTGTGGCGTTCCACCTGAACGAGGAGGCAACAGTGGGCGACGCAAAGATTCAGCTGCATGTGGTCTTCAGCAACGGCGACGTCTGCATCTGTGAGTGGGATGACAGGGACCACGTGTTCAAGTCCTCCAATACGCCCACCCTCAAGACGAATCAGCTTCAAGTGCGCTGCTTCGTTCAGGTGCTGAACCGCTACTATGTCATGTGCACCGCCGACTGCACGCTCACCGTTTGGGATCTGCAAAACGGATCGGGGGACAAGCCAGAGCTCAGTGGCTACGATGTCCACAACGACCCACCGCTGGCGATTGAAGCCTACACCGAACGCAGACAGCACTCGACGCTGCTGCTAATTCACAGGTACAGCGTGTGGCGGCTGACATTTGAGCCTGGCGACTATCAGCAGCCTCTGGTGCGGCTCCAGTCGGAGCCTGTGCAGCTGCCGGACAGGAGTTACATTAACTGCGCCAAGGGATCAGCAGATGGCCGCTATCTGATCCTGGGCACATCGGCGGGCCTCATTGTGTACGACATCAAGATGTCCGATCCGGTGCTGCGCAGCAATGTTAGCGAGCACATCGAGTGCGTGGACATTTATGAGCTGTACGATCCCATTTACAAGTACATTGTACTTTGTGGGGCCAAGGGCAAACGGCTGCTGCACGTCCACACTCTGCGCAGCATGGATTCGGGTATTACGTGGGTCCACAACGTGGACGAGACAAGGGGCATGACACGGGCTTGCCTCGAGCCCAATGTCTATCTGCGCTCGCTGCTGGACATGACCAGCAGGCGGTCTCAACTGCTGGCCGTGGACTCCAAGGAGCGTATCCATCAGATTGAGACCACTGCAGATCCAAGTGCACGCCGAAGGTCCAGTATTTCGTCCTGGTCAACGATCACACCCACGCATGCGGCCAGCAAAACGCGCATTACCGCAATATCCGCCCACGACGATGATCACATATTTGTCGGTTACATGGACGGGGTGATCATCGATGTGAACCGGGATGCGGTGCTGCCCCAACAGTTTATTACGGATCGCATTGACTACCTCAAGCAGATCAACTCCCAGCTGCTGGTGGCATCGGCACACGGTCCATGCAAAACTGTGATATTCCAGCTACAGCCAGAGAGGCCAGTGGCTGGCAACGGCTCGCCAGTGGATTGGCCGCTCTACTTGGAGCTGGACACCAAGTATTCCTGTCTTCTGGGTGGAAAGTTTCTGCTCTTGTTCTCCCAGCACGGTGTATTTGTAAGTGCAGGCGTATTCTATTCGAGACTGAATGATTCCCTGACTATTTAAACTGTTTATTCCAGCAATTGGACTTATCCAATCCGATGGCACGCATCGCACTGGAGGAGTCTGACGAAAAACTTGTTGGCTTCGACCTGAAGAACGGTCTCCTCTTTCTGGCCTTCGGGAACAACACCATTGAGGTGAGTGCGACACATGCTAAAAACTCCAACAAAACTAAAAGTAAATGCCGCGCCCTATAGGTTTCCCGATTCAGCTTCACCGACACGGCACTTAGGAACGATATCATCTGCAGCAAACGGATCACAGAGGAGGCAAAAATTAGTTATCTGATTGCCACAGATGACGCTAGTCTGTTTGCGCTGGGCTTCGAGAGTGCCATGATCGAGGTGGGACACAGATAATGTTTCTTTCTTATATTTCCATTATTTATAATCCATTTAATGTGTGCACCAACAGCTTTACTCCCTGGCAGGATCTGCCATTCAGCTGGTCTACAGCATAAAGGGAGTGCACGAGCATTGCATCAGACAGCTACGCTTCTCGCCCTGCAAACTGCTGCTCGTTAGCTGTGCGGAGCAGCTGTGCTTCTGGAACGTCACCTACATGCGGAACAACCAGGTTGAGCAGCGGGCCATACGACGCAGCCGACGCCACAGGCAGCACAGTGTCACGCATGAGGATGCTGTCGATGCGGCTCCCATTGTTTCGGACATGTCGGAGTTAGAGCCGCCGCCATTTGTTGCCTATTCGAGGCAGCCCGTTCGGGACACCCAGCCGGAGTCAGAACTGTGGCGGAACAAGCGGGGAAACGCCATCCGGCCGGAGCTGCTGGCTTGCATCAAGTTTGTGGGCAACGAGGCCAAACAGTTCTTCACCGACGCCAAGTTCTCGCAGTTCTATGCGATAGACGACGAGGGCGTCTACTACCACTTGCAACTTCTGCAGGCAAAGCACCCGCCGAGTGGTTCCACGTCGGACCTGGAGATAGCTGAACGGCTCGCAAGCGAGATGCAGTATGCGAATCTGGCGGACATTCGAATAATTGACCCCACATTGACAATTGGTGATGGCATTGATGACCCCGGAGCTGATGTCGTCGGAGATTTCCAGCCGGAGCCTAGCACAACGGGCCTGGCCGATACGCCGCTGGCTGTCGACGAGTGCAGCTCATGACGCCAGTCGTGCGCCGCTTTCCGGCGCACGGATGAGGGCAATGGACACTTCCATTATGCATTTATAGCATTAATTCTCTCTTACTTATTTGCAATGGTATTTTACTGCCTCAACAATGACGATGTGTCATAGTGTTTACATGTACATACATACATACATACACAAAAATGTATTGCTAGGGCACTGGGAAAGGGCTTCTAGTTTGCACGCAATATCTCAGGAGGACAATGCCCTACTATTGTTTGGCAAACGACCCGCGCCCCAATGTCTGCGTCACAAAAAAAATACACAGTTTACGATACACACGAATAGTCTGGTATTTATTTTGGCTTTGTGCACCATATCGGGGGGGGTTGAATTTATTCTGTTTTTGATAAATCTGTTTATTTAGAATGAAAGATATGAAAACTATGTATAATTGCGAAATTGTAGCTGTTTCTGTTCAAATCATTTATGGTTGCCAGACTCAGCATATTCCGGAAGAGGCCATTATTTTTCAGATTTTTTCAATACAGACCTTTATTTGAAATTCAACGTTAATTTAGATAATAAGTATCGATAGTACACAGAGTAGTGGTACTTTTAGACTAGACTTAAAGTCGAACTGGTAGCAGCGAAGCACAGGTAATACCTTACGTTTTATACTTTGGCCGTTTTTGTTTGAACCCTATAATGTAAACAATCCAATGAAAAGGAGTTTTGAAAACTAACAAATCTTGTACAAAATTTATTGATGAAGCGGACAAAATTATTTTTTTAGGACTCAGAGTGCTAACTAACTAGTAATATTAAACCGAATATCAAAATCGAGAAATATCAAGGCATTTTGTCATGCCAGTCAGTCTATTTCCGGTATATTTTGATAATGACAAGGTATATTTCTGAGGGTCTGGCGGTATATTCGGTCGATAAGCCCGCGGTCACACTGGTCGTCGTGCGTGCTGAGCGCTAAAAACAATTTTCTCTGTTTTGCTGTAGAATATTTATTAATATCAATAAGTGCGCTGTTATTTCGCGTGCGTACATATATGGAATCAATGCGCCATCGTTAGTAGGCAACGATGCCCAGCGAAAGTAAGAAAGAACGATATGTATGATATGATATGATGCGCAGCTTGCTACCCGTTCCGTGTTCGTTGTCGTTTTCGGGTTGTGAGCTCACTCTGGCAGGGGCAATAAATAAGATTTGTTCATGTACTGCATATATACAACACATATGTACGTATTTACGATGAGTATGCACACATAGCTGTGTACCTAAAGTGAAGGTGATATATCAAAATGCAAAAGTCGGTTCGCGTGTGTGCAATGCTGGAAAATTATTACGGCCTAAGTTCATCTAAAAACGATCTCTAACCTATTGAACACATACATAAGGATACATATAGGGGCACGTACATACGCGCTGGCGCGCACACACAGCCACAAGTGAGTTACTGTTGGTGTGTTTGTGTATGATGACCCAACAGCAGCTCAGCAAAACAATATGGCTGCCACCGCCACTTGTTAGACGCGAATTGAAAGAAAACTCGTCGCTGTTTATCAAATTTCCATTAATTTACCCGTCGCCTGGGCTCTGATGCCGCCTTTCGCTAAAATCGAATTAAAACGATGTACGTACTGCAGTTCAAGAGTTCAATACTCAAACACAGAGGCACAGGCGCACACACACCCGCGCATCTAAATGTGTACTCACACGCGCACACACAGACAAAAATTTCACACAAAATGCGTTTGCGGCGATGATCGCACTCGCACCCCCACAAACACGTCTAGTGTGTGTTTGTATGTATACACATTTATTCAATTAAATATTTGCGTTTAATTATGAAAGGAGTGAAACTGCAGGGTTTGATTTAATTTTGTGTATACACGTTTGAGATCAGTGCGATAAGAGTGTACCCCGCTGTGATAATTTTCCCTCCCCTCGCCTCCCCTGAAAAGCAGTTAATTGAACAATCAGCTGTTTGCGATGATGAGAACATCAAATATCTGTACTTTAACGATTGTGCACTCTATGGATATTTCTTAAGGGATATATTCTCGCATGTATGTATATGCGTTTTGCGCCTGTCCATTCTGACCCATTAGTATTGTATTAGTATTTATTTTTTCGGCCAAAACTTGTTTTACCCCCAGCCCGATCCTCCCCAATCGGCGTCGGTCGTCGTCATTCGTTCGAGTGTTTCGTGAAAACTAGTCAGCAAAAAAAAAAAAAAGAAAAAGAGTACAACAACAAGAAAATAACAGAGCGCCAGAGCGCAGACGTTAACGGAAGTGTGAGAGTGAGCGGCGGGGGCAGGCAAGGAGGAGCGAAAGAGATGACTGTATTGAAATGAAAACAATGGAACTGCAAGGAGATCGTTGCATGTTCGTGGTCGTCCCTCCCTCTTCTCCACCCCCTCATAATGTGTGTGTGTGTTTCTATTTGTTTGTGTGTGTTTAGGTTGGAGTGAAAAGAAATATAGCGAAATATTATTACAAAAATGCAATAAAATCAATAATAATTATAACGGAAAACGGAAAACTAGACAAACAGCTGCAAAAAAACAGACAAACAGCCGCCCGAAGCCAGAAGTCAGAATCCAGAACTAGATCAAACCCAATTAAATTATCTTCGTGCAGTGAGTGCTCTGGAATAATTCCGAACAGTGCAGTGTACGTTTTTCGCAAGAACATATAAAAATAGCCACCACCGTTGTCGCGACCCTACGATTCAGCCCCCGGGACGTGCCGTGCTCCGAGGGCAGTTCCACCCCCGATTCTGGGGAGGAGTAGGAGGATCACCACCATTGACCCGCGTCTGATTGCAAGCTGAATTTTCAACCCACCAGCAGCCAGCGCAGGAATCAACCCTATGGATGACCCATCAATCAAGAAACGGTGAGCTAAAGCCCTAGCCTAGAATGAATGCCCCAGAATGCTGCTCACAGATGCTGTATTCTGATGGGAGACCCAAGCGGAGGAGATATCCACACATTACTCATACGCGTAGTTTGAATTGTGAAAAACGACGATAATTCTTTATCTCCGTAAAGTAATATATGTATAGTTCGATGTATATTTTCCTCCCCATGGTCGTATTCACTCTCGTCGTATCCAAAAGTATGACATATGCTCATATGGCATACACTCTCGTTCGTTCGTATATTATAAGCTTTGGGGGGACAGTGCCGTCCATTAATGACGAACCATTTTATTTGCTTAGCTAGATTAGTCGGTGGAAAACTAATGGGGCAAGGGAATCCAGATTTCAGCAGTCCGGGCTGCTTTTCTGATTGCTTTTGGCCATAGCTTCGCTCCAATGGGGGTTGTTTTTGTTTTTGGTTTTGGTGGTTCGTGGTTCAACCACATTCGATGACTTAATACCCCCCCGCCACATATAACAAAAACTAAAACTAAGGAGCGGCCAATTTTCACATTCTACTATTACCTTTATTTTGCTGCTGCTGTCTGGGGTAAGTTTTAGCCTCAATAGATATCGTTTTTGGTCAGTTGAAAATGAAAGGTTAGTGTGAAAGCGAACACCCATTGAGAGACAGAGCATATAATACATACATACATACATATGTATGCAAAATCAGTTAACTATATCGACTGCTAAGTTGGGATGGGGGGGTATGGTATGGGAATGAATGTGTTACTCAATTTGTTTGCCTGACATTGTGGGCCTTAACAGGTTTTACTGTCCCACTACTAGTCATCGTATCGTTTTGTGATGTGATGCAGTCAGACTTCCTCAAAGACCACCACCAATAGAGGCAGGGGGAATACGTTGTTGTATTATTGGATTGGCAGTGGGGGTCACTCCTCGGATCAGCGTTAAGGTAAACATTGGGTTTTATTTTTGGGTCTGCTATTCGGCTGCTATGGAAATATATCATAATTTTGTTTGATGGATTCGGCAGGCGGGAAATGAGATTTTATGGCAGTCCAGAGCAAAGGCACAGCCAGCAGAGATTCCATTCACATGCAAAACGATCAAATAAACATCAATTAAACTGTATCTATTCTCTGGGCTGATTTAATTTTAGCTCAATTAAAAGAGAGACCGAAACAAAGAACGGAAAGACAGAGGAAGGCAGGCAGGCAGTCGCTGGCCATGACTTTCGTTACATGTCGTTTCTGTGTGGTCTGTCTCTTCATTATCCACTAATCTTGCTAATCACAGAATGTCAATTGTTTGTGGTTCCGGTAACTGAAAGACCTTCGTCCACCATACACAACAACATACCAGATACAAGATTAATTAATCAATAACACTGCTTTGCTTTCCTTTTTGGGAATCCTTTACTAAACGATGCAACTATTCTCTCATTCCTTATCTTTGTAGGTTAATAGATTTGTGCACCGACGAACATGATTACGATGAAGTTCAGGAGCTGCCAGAAGAGTCAAGCATTCAGCAGCAGCAGCAGCAGCCCTCGGAGTCATCAGCAATCGCCACAACTAGTACAGCGAACGGTGGTAGCAACGCGGGAACGGGAACTGGAACTGGCACTGCCACTGCCACTGGAACAGTTGTGCCATCTGTGGTTGCGTCAACGGCAGCAGTTGTTGTTGTGGATTCAGTGCCAGAGCTGCCATCACCCAAACAGAAATCTGTGAAGAATTCAAAAAACAAACAGAAGCAGAAGCAGTTGGCGAATAAATCGAAAATACCCCGATCCCCATCGTTGGCAAGCAGTCTGAGCAGTCTGGCCAGCAGTTTCAGTAGCCACAGAGACAAGGATAAAGATAAAGATAAAGATAAGGACAAGGATAAGGATAGGGAGAGTCAGAGCAGTTCCGTGCCCCCACAAACACCGCCATTGCCAGCCGGCTACCAGCAGGCGAATAAACAGAGCCAAATGAATGGTGAAGCCACTGCTGGTGGCACAGCACCAGCCACACCCACAACCCACATTAATAATAATAATAATAATAATGTAGGAAACATGACCGGGGATAATCCTCTGCTTGGGCCTGCAGATCGCAGTAGCCTCAACCTGACGACACACATCGGGGGCACGGGCATGGGAAACCATCCCCAGACAACGACAACGGGCGAGGGCACAACGCCAGCGACGACACCAACGACGCCAAGCTTAGCATTACCAAAAAATTTTCAGTATTTAACCCTGACAGTGCGTAAGGATGAGAACGGATATGGGATGAAGGTGAGTGTGAAGGTGCAGCAGCCAGCTCTGTTTCGGATTCTGATTCGTTGTGGTTCTATCCTCCAGGTTTCCGGCGACAATCCAGTGTTTGTGGAGAGCGTTAAGCCTGACGGAGCAGCCCAGGTTGCTGGTCTCGTCGCTGGTGATATGATACTGAAGGTCTGTTGTGTGTGGTCTGTACCTAATATTGGACGGGAGTTGCTCATGTTTCTGGTCTCCACTTTCAGGTGAACGGACAGGAAGTGCGCCTGGAGAAGCATCCCACGGTCGTGAGTCTGATAAAAGGTTTGTAATCGCCCAGTGGAATATATTGCTCACGGGCTGTACATTTTCTTAGTCAATGCTGCCGAATTTTGAGAGTCGCTTGCGTCAGTCGCACTCTTTTGGATGATCACCAGAACCAGCAGCAGGGGGGTCAGGACAGATTTTGCACTTTTTCTTGGGCTTCGGATCGGAATGATGATTGGCGGCGGGGGGGCTTTCGGAGTTCGGCGGAACACTCGGACACTTGCGCTTCTTGTCTGCCCAGCCCGCCTCCTGCCGCTTCTTGCAGACGGGGCAATCGCACCGCGGCTTCTTGGGCATTCGCGGCTTGTAGATGAAGTCATCTTTGAATCGCTCCTTGCACGGAACCTGGGTCTTGGGACAGGCCTTGTCATTGCAGAACGACGATAGCGTCCCATCGTTGGGCACCAGGCCCGGGCTCGTCCGCTGGCCACACTTGCACTTCGAATCGGGCGCGGGCTTAATCGGCTGCACCAGGGGTCTCTCATCGATGTGTTTCTTGGAGATGGTTACCTCGTTCTTCGATCGCTTGGCCATAAAGTCGCTGTAATACTTGCGAATGCGCTCGATGAGGGAGCCAATCAGACCGGGCACCGCCTCCAGCCACTGCTGCATGAACGTGGGCACGGCGCTGAGCACCTCGAAGAAGGCAATCACCACCTGGTTGTAGTAGTGTACACCGGAGAACCTCCAGCTGCCGTCGGGCGGTGGCCGTGGCGCACATATTTTCAGCTTCCGACGTGCCTGCTCGGCATACGGTTCAATCTTCTCCGTGGTGTTGTTGTAGATCTCCTGCGTTTCATCCGCTGGTCCCCAAATGCCCAAACGTTTGGTGGCCACAACCAGCGCATACACGACGCCTGCCCGCACAACAAAGTCGATAATCATCCTGGCCCAAAATCTTGTTTCGAAATTTCTATTTTATTGTGAATTTGGATTAAGGATGAAGGGTAAAGGGTGGCCATCTAGACGGGCACACGTTTGCCGCATGTTATGTCGTCTTTGATCTTGGGCGTTCGGATTTGCTTGCTGTCCTCTCGGGGAATGCTGTTTTTTGAATCCAGTGGCTCCTCATAGAAGCATCCTCGCAGCTTCTTCTGAGAGCTCGAAGAGCTACCCTCTTTCTCCTTTGGCAACGCAATGGGTTCTTGCATTGTTGTGGCCAGGATGTCGTGGGTTTGCCTCTTGAACTGGGAGGCCCAGTCGGGCATACGGAGAGAGAAGTAGAAGCCACGCTGAATGGCCAAATTGCACTTGTAGGGGGCCACAAAGCTGCCCTCCGTGGACGACGAGAGTTCCTCGGCATCGAATGACGGCCTCTGGTCCATGGCATGTACTACGGGGGACAGTGACAGTCCCTTGGCGTCAACCGAAGACATCGCCAGTCCAGTGAACAGTCCACACATACGAGCTATTTTTTGAGAGGCCATGCTAATGATAATTTGGTACACTTTTACTTCTTGCCTGATTTCTGATGAATTATTGTGATGAGCGGTATGTGGCGTCGCCTACTTATCGTCTCCCTTGAACAACCGACAGATGCTGTCGCCCAAGTCGCTCGCCACACCGCCCCAAAAGGCGGGTATTTTCTTGAGAGCCCTCACTGTGTCGCTCCATGCGTCTGCGATGCTTTCCGAAAAGGGTTTTGGTGGCGGAGGCTCACAGATGCCGCCTTTAGTGCAATACTTTCGCTTAAAGTCGTCCGTCTTGCGCTTCAGATCCCGTTTATCATCCTCATCGAAGAGGATCTTCCTGCTCCCATCCTTGGCCAGCTCAATGGGAGCGGCACCTGGTGGTTCCTCCTGATTGCAGTCGACCAGTGCAGAAGCAGTGTCCGAGTTGCCCAACTCTTTGATGAATAATACGGTTCCAGCGAATCCCAATATCTTGAGAATCTTAACCATAAACATCTTTAATTTTGACCGTGGGATTTCCCGGGTTATCCGGTTCATTGTGGAATTTTTATATATATTTTATTTCGACAATTAACTCAAAGTTCCTTTTTCCCCCCACACCCTCGTTCGCTCCTTTTGCAGCCTCAACCATTGTGGAGTTGGCCGTGAAGCGGCAGAAGATGACGCGTCCAGCGTCCGTTGGTGTGGTGAGCACGCCCATGACACCGATTCTATCCGGAAGGGATCGGACCGCATCCATTACAGGACCCCAGCCGGTCGACGTAAGAACAGATTGGCGACGCTTGCAAGCTTGAATGATTGAATACTAAATTGATTTGCAGAGCATCAAGCGCCGTGAGATGGAATCGTACAAGATACAGACGCTGCAGAAAATGCTGGAGCAGGAGAAGCTGAATCTGGAGCAACTGAAGAGCGATCAGAACAATCCCAGCTACAAGCTGTCGGAGGCAAATATCCGTAAGCTGCGAGAACAGCTCCATCAAGTGGGAGCCGAGGTGAGTGCCCCCAAACAAGAGCAGGCGTCTGTCGGTCCGTGTGTTTTCCCCCCGTTCCCGGTTCTGTCGCAGGAAAATATTAAGCTAAGCTAATCCCAACCTCCCAACAAAAATCTAACCAAACTGCCAGCCAGACGTGGCGCGAAGCTGTCGCTAAATAAAGTAGAAAATGTTTTTGGTATGAGATTTGTGGAGCACCGAAGTAGCTTCGGATGTTATGGATGGATGATGGATGATACATGATCTCTCTTTCTTCTCTTCCATTTTGTGCTGTCTTAACGAACTGTCCTAACTGCAGGATGCACCAACAATTAAACTCCAAGCAGCCGCGAGCAACAAGAACACCGCATTACTAACGCCCAATCAAATCCAACACTTGTCTACGTCCGCCACTCACAACAATCCGCATCAGCATCAGCAATTCCATCATCTCCACAGCCACAACTATCAGCATCAGCAGCAACAGCAACAGCCACTGCCACAGCAGCCCCTAGCACACCACTCCTCACCCGCATTCCTCTCCCTACTGCCGCGTTCTCTCTCGTCCCTGTCGCTGGGCACACGCAAGAACCGGATAGACAAGGACATTGTTGCCTCCTCGCCGTTCAATAATACGGCGGACTTTCTGCAGCACCAGCGGATGCAGCACCAGCACCAGGCCGAGGCCATGTCCCAGTCAATGCACCAGCAGACATCCACACCGACCACACCGTTCTTCCATCCGCACCTGCAACAGCTACAGCAGCAGCAGATGCTGCAGCAACAGCTCCTGCAGCAGAATCGCTTCAAGGAGACGCCCAAGTCAGCTGCCGGCTCGAAGAGCAAGAATAAATTCCTTATCTCCAAGAGCCTAATCGAAGAGGATGTGCCGCCACCTCTGCCGCAACGAAACCCTCCCAGGCAGCTTAATCTCGACCTGAAGAACGGCAATGCATCACCACAGAGCGGGCATCTGGTGGCGCCCGTCTCCGATCTGGACAGAGCCACCAGTCCCCAGCTGAACAGATCGCAATTGGGCGGCAGCGGCAGCAACAGCAACGACAACAGTCCCAGCAGCAACGCCAGCAAGTCCAAGCGATCGAAGATCAAGACCAAGGCCCTGTCCGATCCAAAGATGTCCACACAAATGTTTCTGCAAATGGAGTCGGCGTGTGCCACCGGAGGAGCAGCAGGTGGGTCGCTCGAAGTGGACGGTGGACCGCCACCATTGCCCCCTCGACTGCCGGGCATGATGTCGGAGGATATGAGCCGCGGCAGCTGCCAGAATCTGGCCCAGCCCAACTCTCTGAACAGCGTTTTCAACTATCCTCTGGTGTCCACGTGCACAGCCGTGCAGAGCGACAACCTGAAGGCGGCCTTTCCGCTCTCCCAGCGGCCGAATATTGTCCAGCAGCTGCAGCAGCACCAGCAGCATCAGCAGCACCAGCAGCAGTTAAGCAGTGGCCAGGCCACAGCCGTAAGTAGCCAGCCAATCGATCGATCACCTCTGAAAAAAAAGCACTCGTAACTTTTAATCCTTCACTGCCTTTCTCCATCTCTCTAACATTTAACTGTGTCCCTCATGCTTTTACTTAACATACTTAAATGCAGGCCTGGTTGCTGCTAGCCAGGCCTGAAGCTTCATTCCTCTCTAGCCTAACCATAAACATTAACATTAACACTAACATTAACTTTACTTTGCTTTTGTGCTAGCCTGCCACTAACCGCAACCGCAACCGAAACTCACAAACACAATCTTTCGAGCACACACTCAACAGATATACAGATACAGATACTATCCATCGTACGTATGTATGTGTGTGTGTATATGTATGTGCGGAAATTGGAAATTATCTTGTCATTTATGTGGGCTTCTTTTTGTTTTGTATTCGAGACTTAGAATTTTGTTGGCAGAGTAACTAAATGCAGGAATAATTTGTATTATATATACGCTAGACGCGCATTCTTGTGCCACAATTTTGGGCTATGAGAAATGTTTAGATCATGGATAGCCTTCTCTTTTATTTTGTTCATATTCCAACACCCAATTTATACCTCCCTCGCCAACCCCACGACAGGCCCTGGGACAGACACCGAACCTGGGCAAGAAGAAACATCGACGCGTTGGCTCCTCACCGGACAATATGCATCCACGACATCCAGGTGAGATAATCCTTCGATAATCGTTGCCCAGAGGAAGCTTTAATTAATCTTTCCCAAAATTCTGCAGATCGTCTAACGAAAACCACTTCCGGCTCGTGGGAGATTGTGGAGAAGGATGGGGAGGTGACACCGCCAGGAACACCGCCGCCACCCTATCTGACCAGTTCGCACATGACGCTGCCAGAGGATCCGAACGAACAGTGCAGGGGAGCTGCCGGATCGGGCGGAGCTGGAATCTTCATTGAATCACATCACTATACGCCAATGGCAGGCGCTTCGTCGCCGATACCGACTTCCCTACATTCCAGCCATTCGATACAGGCGGCACAGTCGAACGACACACAGAAGGAGATCATCTCGATGGAGGATGAGAACTCATCCGATCAGGAGGGGCCCTTCATCGACGAGAACGGGCCGTTCAACAATCTCACACGGCTGCTCGAGGCGGAGAACGTCACCTTCCTGGCGGTGTTCCTTAACTATGTGCTGTCGAATTCGGAGCCGGCACCGCTGCTGTTCTACCTGATCACAGAGCTCTACAAGGAGGGCACCTCGAAGGATATGCGCAAGTGGGCGTACGAGATACACTCGACATTCCTTGTGCCGCGCGCCCCGCTCTCGTGGTACCGCCAGGACGAGTCCCTGGCCAGGGAAGTGGACAATGTGCTGCAGCTGGAATTCGACAAGGTGGAGATCCTGCGCACAGTCTTCCTGCGCAGCCGCAAGCGTGCAAAAGATCTGATCAGCGAGCAACTGCGAGAGTTCCAGCAGAAGCGCACCGCCGGCCTCGGCACCATCTACGGGCCGACGGATGAGAAGCTGGCCGAAGCAAAGACGGACAAGCAGCGAGAGCAAATCATCGACAAGTATTTAATGCCCAATCTTCAATTGCTAACGTGAGTTGCCATCCATCTGCTCGAGGAGTCTTTGATTCTATATTTAATTTGTTTTACAGCGAGGACTTTGAGAAGGATTCACCGACCGAGGATGTGCGCAAACTGGCCCTATGCTCGGCTCTATCAACGGTCATCTATCGCATTTTCAACACCCGTCCCCATCCGAACAGTATTGTGGAACGTGTGCACCACTTTGTCAGCAGAGACAAGAGCTTCAAGTCACGTATAATGGGTAAAAATCGCAAGGTGAGAGTACAAACACAATGGCTGAATGATCTTTTCGTAAATATGCAACATGTGATCCTCGTTTGTAGATGAATGTTCGTGGTCACGCATTGATTTTGCGTCAATACTATGAAGTGACGCACTGCAATCATTGTCAAACGATTATCTGGGGAGTGAGCCCCCAAGGATATCATTGTACAGGTGAGTAACTCTCAAATATTTTGTTCCCATTCCGAACTAATCCGGGCTAATACTTGCTCACCCCTTTTGTAGACTGCAAACTGAATATACATCGTCAGTGCTCCAAAGTTCTGGACGAGAGCTGTCCCGGCCCATTGCCGCAGGCCAAGCGGATTGCCCATAATGATAAGATTAGTAAATTTATGGGCAAGATTCGACCACGTACCAGCGATGTAGTTGGAAGTAAGTCCAAAATAATTATATATCATATTATTTAATATTTTAAAATTTAATTAATATTTAATATTTGTTGAATTAATTCATATTTTCCTTTTATTTCCATTCTTTAGATGAAAAACGCAGTCGGCAAGATGAGGACTTGGACGTTGACATGACGCCGGGTAAGTCTTGAACACTCTCGAGTCTAGTCGCCAGCCACTTACCTCTCCTACGCTCTCTCTGGGATTTCAGAGCGCGGTCAGTCGTCGATTGTGCGACAGCCTTCGGATCGTCGACCGGATGCAAATATATCGATGCGGTCGAATGGGAATGCCTCGTGCAACACCTCGGCGCTGAACAGCACTGACCTGCAGAGTTCGTTTCATGGCAGCAGCGCCAACGATAGTATTAACCCAAGTGGCGGCGCCATTTGCCCCATGGACCTGTCCACGAGTGTGGCATCGACGGCTCCATCGAGCAGTGGTTCGGTATCTGCCGGGCTGAGTGCGTTTGCCGAGCTGAATGCACCGGATACAGCGGAGAAGGATGCGCGCAGGGAACGGTAAATGGCACTACAACTTGATCTACTTTGACTCTATCTCTTTAACACGTTATCCTTTCGATCCTTCGCGCAGATACACCCAGAATCCGCAGCACAAGAGCGCGCCAGTGTCTGTGAATCGCTCGGAGTCGTATAAGGAGCGCTTGTCCAACAAAAGGAACCGCAACAGTCGCCGCAAGACCTCTGATCCAAGTTTGTCGTCACGTCCCAAGTAAGTTTTGGTGGCATCGATTTCACCGTCCCCCTATAACGATTACCTCTCTTCTGGCGCCCATTCCAAGGACATTGCCTGGCCGCTCCCTAAATTCTTTCAACTAAAACATTTATCTTTCTGTGTTCATGAGCGC